ATGAGTGCAGGAAGTACAGGCATGAGCCACCACGCCCAGCTCTGTGAGCTGAGTTTTTACTTTGGCCAGAAATTGGCTTTGATCTTCCCTGTCTTGCTCCTGCTTTTCTGAGGCTGACAGTAGTGCTGACAGTAGTTGCTATAGCTTAAGCCTATTTAAGTTTGCCAGTCTTTCAATGCTCACAATTAATTAGACAACAGGCCCCTTGAGTCTTAACATGTGTAAGAATGATATAAGGGAAAGAAATTCCCAGCCTGCTAGATGTCCGGTGTGGGTTCATGTTCTCTAAAATCAAACAATGAATTCTAGGAACAGTGGAGGTTATAAGAGCAGAATCTATTTATTGGGAAAAGAAAGCTTCTGTCTCAAAGAGACAGAACAGATCTAGAGTGAGTTTCAAAGATGCTGCTTTTCACGGGAACTTTATAGAGGAAAACCACAAGATGAGGTAGGTCGAAAGTGGGAAAAACTATAATCAACTAATAAGATTATAAGTATGATCAGTTAGGTAACATTGATCCAAAGGGAAATCCCAAGATGGGCATGAAGTGGGACAAAACTATGATGAACCTGTAAGATTATGAGGATAATCACTTAGCTAATGTTAATTAAATGGGAAATCACAAGGCAGGCATGAGATGGGATAAAACTATAGTTAACCAATAGGAGTACAAGTATACTTGTTTAGGTAATACTAATTAAATGAGGATCAAATGGGGAAGCAAGTGATATAGCATGCATACATGGAACAGAATAGGGGCCTTTCCTAGAGCAGGTGGGTCAGTGGCTCTCCCTAGCCCCCCAAGGTCGCAGGAGCATGTTTAGAATATCCATCCTTGCTGTTCCTGCCTGGGGAAGTATGAGGCACAGCCATTCTATCTTTGGTCTTGAAGTCTGGCATCTAATGCACCTCCCCACAGTTGCGATGTATTCTCACCTTCTCCGCTGACTCGAGGGCCTGTCCCTGTCTGACTAACTGCCTATGACGCTTCCAGCTAATTTAGCTGTCTGTAATACAAAGGTTTGAATGTTTGGCTGGACAAGGCCCACTGCAGGCAGCAGCCCATGTTATCTCATCTTCTGCCATGAAGTCTTACTGTGTCCTGAGCCCTGTTTCCCCTGCACAAGGGCCCAGCCTCCCACACTTCCCCAGGTCTGATTCATTTTTAGTTTTCAAGTGAGTGTTGGTATATTGTAGGTGAGATAACTTATAGATACTCCTGCCTCAGTTTCCCAGAGGACTGAAATTACAAGCATGCACCACCAAGCCTAGTCATGCACATTATTTTAAAAATCTTTTTGAGGGCTTTCTTAGAAGATATAAGGGAATGAAACTCCCAACCTACCAGCTGTCCAGTGAGTTCATGTTCTCTAAACTCAAAGGATGAATTTAAGGAATAACAGGTTAAGGGTGAAGTTACTGAGAGAAAGAAAGCTGTCAGAGAGACAGAAGGGATCCCGAGCACGTTGCCAAAGACTGTGTTTTCTAGCGACTTTTATAGAGTAAAACCATGAGGTGAGGTAGGTGTAAGGTGGGGAAAACTGGGAACTTGCAAGGCAGATGGGCATGAGGTGGGACAGAACTATGGTCAGTTGATTAATTGCTCAGGTAAAATTAATTAAATCGAGGACAAATGGAGAAGCGAGTCAGGTAGTAAGCTGGCGTGCTTAACAGCAGTGACTCTTCCTGTAGCGGGTGGGGATAGTGACTTCTGGCTTTCTCAGGATGATAGAGACCTATTTAGAGTATTAGTCCTTTTTTTTTGTCTTTTTCTTTTTTATTGGTATCGGGGATCGAACTCATGACCACACACTTGCAAGGTAGGTGCTTATGCCGCTGAGCTAAATCCCCAGCCCCTAGAGTATCAGTCCTTAGGATATGGGTGCTTTTGTTTGATCTTTTGTCTTGAGGCCTGGCCCACAGCAGGAGGTGTCTGTCTCCCACACAGTTGCAAAGGTATCTGGGCTTCTGCACTGGCTCCTTCAAGGACCTAGCCCTGTCTGCCTGCCTATAATATCTCTAACTCAGCTGCCGGCAACAAAACAAAGGAAAGAGACATTTTATGAATCTATAAAAAGTGGAGTGACCAGTTTACCCTGTCCAGGTGTGTGACTGCACGGTCTGTCTCCTGACAAGTTTGTACACGTTGAAGGTGTAAGGAACTCAAGAGGCAGAGACCAGCCAAGACCTCCAGGCTTGTGCAAAGACAACATGGCATGTAATTTATTGCACCTGGCACAGGCAGATGGTGAAAAGGCCGTCTGTAGGGAACAAAGAGAAGTGGACTCCTTTTATAGGGACTGAAAGAAGGCAAGGGACATTGTGGGAAGATTTTAAGAAATATCTGTGACCAAAGTTCTCTGGCAGTGTTGATCTCAATGGGCAGGGTCTTAGAAGCCCAATGGAGATTTTTGGGTCGCTCCAGATGTCTGTGAACCTGTCAATATCATTGTTCTTCCTCTAAACCATCCTGTGTCCTGTGCTTGCCAACAACCTCGGTACTGAGCTGAGTTCCCTGCTAAGAACTATGCTCTGCTGGCAAGCAGGTTTGGGGCTGTCAGAGTCATACAGAAGAGGTGGGTGTGTGTGTGTGTCCCCTCAGCTCCTGGAAGAGACACAGGCAGCATAGGAGGTAGCAGTGAGAGAACGGTGTCCTGGTCTTCCTTTGTGTGTTTGTTGGCATACACATTAGGGTCCTGTGTTCTGTGATGTTGCATTTGAGACAGGGTCTTGTGCTGACCAGGCTGGGACTCAAAGATTTCTGCTGCCTCAACCTCCCAAGTCTGGGGCCATAGGTGCTGCCCACCCTCTGTTGTTTTCATGTGAGAGTATTCTTCACCCTGCACTTAACTAATGATCATCCTAGTCAAGGGGTTACCGAAAGTCTCTGGAGTGTGCGGTGCTGGGGATTGAACCCAGGCTGTGCTTGGAGAGCCCTCTTCCCTACGGCCACATCTGCAGGTACTGCTCAAGGGACTCATGCTGGCTGGGTCTAGAGTCATTCTGCGCAGAAACCTCAACTTTCAAAGAAGTAAAGAATTAGCTAATATTTATGTCTGTCCTTTGCTGACAGAGGGCTCATCTTCGTTATCTGATGCTCAGCGAAGCCTTGCAAATAGTAATTCCTCTTTGTGATATGATCTTAATCCAGGGATGTGACTTCTTGGAGGTTCTGAAGGAGAACAGTGCAACCAAAACATAAAGTACTGGCATCTCCACTGTTCCAAGTTCAGTCTCAAGCTCTGCCATGTAGGGGTTTTATTGTCATTGTTATTTGGCAAATAAGTCCATTAATCCCTTGGGACAGTGTGACATTTTTACAAAGCTAACATAAAATATTAGAAATTCATGCATTTAGTTTTCAATCATGTGATTTACCTACATCCAAATCAGGTTCTTTATATTTAAAAAAAAAGTTGCTAGGACCAAAAACTAACCCAAAAGTAACTAGATGTTAAATGTATTCCATAAAACTTTATTTTTCTTTCCTTCCCAGGTTCACCTCCATTTCCCAATGTGAGCGATTTACATCATTAAGATGAGTTGAATATAGATTTCAATTACTGTTCTTCCTAAGTGATAAGGATGTAGACTTGTAAGCAGGACAAGACTAATCACCCTAGACTTACACTGCGGGGCCCATAGGTAAGGCTTAGAGAGCTGCTCCATGCACCCGTGCTCAGAACTCTGTCTCTGCCTGTCCTTCTGATTGAGACTCCTGGGTGCTGAAGCCCACATGGGTTGTAAGGAGCCTTCACAGGAACATACAGGAATAGGCATCTTGTTTGAAGTTGTTTGCTGCTCATTCATCTCTTGCTTCTCCAGAATTGATGATCAACCCTGGAAACTTTGAGCAAGGCCTCCACCTTGAGTCATTTCTGTCCAAATGGGACTAAACAAGATTTAGAAGAAGATCCTTTGAAAGTGTTCAGTTGGAGATTTTACATTAAAACCACCCTGTTACCTTAATATGTTTCTTAATCTGCTTTTTACATTAGTTTATCTGACATACTTACATAAGAATTAGGAAATTCAATATAACTCCCCCTTTGATGGCTGTTATAAGAAACACTAAATATTCAGTGCAACTAAAGATAAGCAATTTTAAGAAATAAGCTTTTCTTGGGGCTGGGGGTTTAGCTCAGCAGCATAAGCACCTGCCTTGCAGGTGTGTGGTCATGAGTTCGATCCCTGGTACCATTAAAAAAGAAAAAGACAAAAAAAAAAAAAGAAAGAAAGAAGCTTTTCTGGCCCTTTATATCCTGGTATGGCAGGCATGCAAACAGTGAGCAGAGAATAATCAAAACTCAAAGCACTGTGAATTAGAGATCCTGCTTGTCCCTTAGATACCTTGGGAGTGAGTCCTCTGGGCTGGAGTTGTCTTTGCCTTGCAGTCAGGAGAAAAGACATTGGCTTTGGTGGATAAGCAGCCTAGATTTTTAAACATCCTCTCAGTGGAAATGCTTTTCCTGTTGGTGCTACATGTCTTGACTGTGCAGTAAGGAATGCAAAGTCCTTACAGTGCCCTCTGGTTTGACTGTGAACCAGATAATTTTAAAACATTGGACTCAGGGTTCATTTGTATAGCAGAGAATCCATCTATTGAGCAGCAGGTCCCTTCCTCTCTGAACAAGTTGTTTAGTTTGCAGCTTGCCACTTGGAAAGGGCAGTGATCTATTTTTAAAAATAAATAAATGATCTGTTGAGACAAAGCCTGACACATATGAAGTATAAGTCACCAAAACTAATTGGGGGATAATTACCTGCTTGTCCAAATAACTTAATATACAAATGCCTTTTCAGTAAATTTCCTTAGATTTATAAAACTAGATTATATGCATTTTTCAGGAAATGTGTAGAGATTAGACCTCATATCTCTGGCAAGATTGCCAAATTTTATCATCCAAATAAATATCATTTTTGTACAATGGAGAAATAAATTGGAATTTATTAACTACTTTATCTCTTTTTTTTTTTTTTTTTTTTTTTTTGTGGCCAGATTTGGAAATGGCAGTTGCCTACTGGAAATTAGTACTGTCTGGAAGGTTTAAATTTTTAGATCTTTGGAACACGTTCCTGCTGGTAAGTATTCACACCTTGCAGTGTATGCCCAGTCGGAGGGGAAGCCAGCAGCTTGAAAGCTATGTGTGACTGGGTAAACCTAGCCCCACACAGAGGTCCTGGGGTACTGGGCGAGGATTGCACAGCCTGTTGCCTTACAGGTTGTGGCAGCTCTTGAGGCTTGGGTGTGCCCTGGCAGCTGCTTGAAACTCACTCTGCCCTGCGGTTTCTACAAGATGGATTCGAGCCCCCGCAGTCCTTTCCTTGCCATCTCTTTGAAGACTCTGTGCTAAATTATTGTCCATGTCCACCAAGAAATTTAAGGTACTTAAGGGAGGTGCCAGGACCATGTTTACTAAGGTTGACACAGGCTCTAGAGCCATAGATGCCCAGCTTCCATGTGTGTCTGCAGTTGGGTGTCACTGTAGAAAAAAAGCAGGCCACTGACAAAGATGCAGGCTGGAAGCTGCGTCACTGTAGTGGGCAACAGGTGCAGCTGCAGGACATTTCAATTGAAAAGGCACAAAGATGTATTCTAAGTCCAGAAGCAGTCATCTGGGGGTGACAGGGACACTCAAACCCCACCACCACCACCACTACCATGCTGTCACAGGAAGAAATGGCCATCTGACAGGCAGCACAGCCAAACTAAGGCGCACTCTCGGCTTCTCATTTATGGCACAGAGCCACCTGTAAGTTCTGTTCATGGGCAGGTCACTCCCCTCTGTGCCCCTTCATCAAGTGAGGGCATGAGCTGCTGCCTGTGGAGCCGAGTGCTGTCAGGGAGGGCCTTGTGAGGTCCCACTGACCTTGGGGAAGCTTTGTGTCAGCTGTGCTACTCTGTCAGGCACTGTGTCACTTCTCCTAAAATTTTCAGAGGTTGAAGAGTGTGCCCAAGACTCCTGACTCCCTTGGGGCCTTGCTCAAGCTCCTGGCCTTCCCCACAGAGCTCACGCCTATGTGCACAAAGATGTGCTGTGGGCATAGCAAAACACTGGACAGCCAGTGTGCATCCACGAGAGTGGGTGGAGAAGGATAGCATAGTGCTGCAGGAGTACACAGCAGCAGAGCAGAGATAAGGCATGGAGCTATATTTACCTGTCAGTGTAGATGCCTTTCAAACGATGCTAGGTGAGAGAAGAAACCACTTGTGCACAACTGCTTACGTCATTTTGAAGCAGTTAATATTTTAAAATGCAAAACAAGCTTTAGCCAGGTATGATGGCAGATGCCTGTAATCTCAGCACTTAGGAGGCTAAAGCAGGAGAATCACCATGAGAATCACCATGCAATGCAGTGCAAGCTTTTAAGCTGCTTCTGATTCTGCACACCTATAAATGTGCAAGGGCAGATCTGGCAAGGCCAAGGCCAGCAAAAGAGAACTCAACCCAAAAGGGCAGCACTTGCCGCTGGAGTGCAGTGTGCAGCACTCTCATCTGGAGTGCAGTGTAACCTGCAGCCATGGATTGCCCCTCTCACTAACTGCTGCTGCCTAATACCTAGAAAAATGAGCATGTTGGCTGGGGATGGAGCTCGATGGCAGAGTACTTGCCTCGGGTGCACAAGGCTTTATGCTCCGCTCCAAATACTCGGTCCCAGAAAGGACATTCAGAAGTGCTGCCATCCTGTCTGAATGACACAGTGCGATCGTGGTTCGCACAGGCCTCCCTTTCTCTGCCAGTGAGCCTGTCTCATGTGTGGGCCCTGGTGCTGCTGGAGCGCTTGCTGTTTGCGTAGAGCTCCGTTTCTCCTGCTGAGGACTTCCTGAGAGGTTCTCCGCAGATGGAAGAGGCTCCCTCTGATGAAGACCACCTGCGAGTAAGCTCTGACTCTTTAATCTGGTGGATTGTTTTTCTCTTGAACATTAGGAACATCACAAAAGATCAATTCCAAGGGATACTTGGAACCTTCTGCTAGATTTTGGAAACATGATTGACGATGACATGTCTAACTACGATGAAGAAGGTACTAGAGCCCGAGGCTTTCCCAGGGAAATGCTCAGTCTGCCACAGGTGCCCTCTGCCTGCCCCCTGGCCTGAGGGGATGCAGGACGGCCACTCGCGTGTTTGTTCCTGCAGCTCACGGAGACAGGTGCTGTTCGGGCTGATAGGGAGGTGCCAGCTTGCACTCATTTCCCTGCACGCAGTCACGCACGCTGCTGCCCCCACTGCCTTGGAGCACCGCGTCTGAGTCTTGGGCAGCGGGGGTCCCTGTGCTCTGGAAGGTGCCCTATCTGTGCAGCAGCGTCCCCACCAGGACTTCCTGGACAGCCTGTCCTCGTTCTGTCATCCTGCAGCCTTGCCCTTCACTTGGCACTGGCTATGTTCTGCTTCTCACTAGCTCAGCTTGTATCTTTGCTGCTTCCACACTTGGCAGAGTATCTGTAGCGTGTATCAATGCTTGTGAATGTGGCCACCCAGCTTCCAGGAGCACAAGCCGTAGATGTCGATATGAGGTCCTTTACAAAAAGACAGCCGAAGCCTGAGGCATGCTGTCATGTGACCGGGAGCTGCAGGACCCAGAGGGCCCCACCTTTGGAAGGGATCCCTCTAAGAGACTAAGCAGTGGGCAGTGCCCCTGGTGGCATGGACACCCATCACTCTGTGTTCCCATCCTAGAGCAAGTAGGCCCATTTCTCTGCACTCTAAGATAGCACTTGCTGACTGCCGAGCTGGCTGGGGACCTTGTGGCCACCGTGTGCCTGGTCACTGAGTATGTATGTTATCTCCACCAGTGTGTCCCACCTGCTGCTCGCTGACCAAGGGTGCCTGGAGAAAAAGCAGCAGGTAGAAGATAGCTCTGTGAACTTCAGATCATTTGGATTCTTGAAATACAAGTGTTAGATTTTGAAAAAAATGTTTTGAACATAAAAAGTGGCTGTAGCACTGGCTGAGTTGGTATATTAAGGGCAGTGGGCTCAGGCTCCAGCCTGATAAAAAATAAGAAATTGCCATGGCACCAGTTTTAAAGACCTTTGTGTTTGCTCCCCGTTTAGGAGCCTGGCCTGTCCTCATAGATGACTTTGTGGAGTATGCACGGCCAGTAGTCACAGGTGGAAAACGCCGTCCCTTCTAGGAGGAAGACAGGTGTGTGGAGGTTGGAAGACAGCGGCGTCTGCAGAGAAATGAGTGGCCAGTCGCTGCATGTGTGTTGCTGCTCTGGCAGCCGTCCTCGCCAGCTATGGGACTGGAGCCTGTACTTTGCGCCGCTCCAGGAGAAACTCCTTGTAGCAGCCGCTCGGGCAAGTGGAGATGTGTCATCACCATTGCCGCTTTAGGAGATTCCCCATGACCTAGAGTCACACCATAACCAGTGCTGTTTGCAGAACTGCTGAGCATGTTGTTCAGTTGTGACCTAGGTGAACACCAGTAGTTATGAACTGCTGAGTCACTGAAATTACCCATAAAGAACAGTGTGTGTATGTGTGTGTCTTGGGCAGAGTGGTGTGTTTCTCTACAAGTCAGAGCTGTTGAAAATGTGCTCTGGCCGGGTGTAGTGGTGCATACCTGTGATCCTAGCACTCAGGAGGCGGAGGCAAGTGGATGGCTGCAAGTTTAAGGCCAGCCTGGGCTACAGAGTGAGTTCAAATTTAGCTTGAACTATGTAATGAGACCCTGTCTCAAAAAGACCAAAAAAGAAAAAGATGTGCCCTCCTGGAGGTGACCTTGATAGAGTCTGATGTTTTCTAATTTTGGTGCCAGAAATTCAAGATTTATATTTTTGAATTATCAGATACCTAGATTTACCAGATCTATTTTTATTTTCATTTTCTCTAGATGTTTATGTGAAAGTCGTTTTGCACTTTTGAGATGCCATTAGTTTGCACAGTAGTGACACGTTGAGTGTGACTCCAGCACAGTTTTACTTTAAGCTGTTTACAGGCCAGTGGGCCTATTTTACTTCTAATGATGTTATTTGAACTTCCTGAGAAGTTTCATATTTTTAATGTATTTTATTATATTTAAAAAGACATTTTTCCATAAAAACCATTTCTTTTTGAGTAATGAGTTACAAGTTTAGAAATCAGGTGCACTGGCTCCCTTCCCCTTTCTGTGACACCCGCAGCTCCCAGAGGCCAGCCCCGCAGAGGAGATGGGGACCGACACACGGCTGTGCTGATGCACCGTGTCTGAGCGCCTCGGGAATGCCGCAGTCTGTTCCTTTGCTGTTGGCATCTGCTGGCCACCGCAGCCAGTGCAGTCCCACTGAGGCACACTGGCCTAGAGGATCCAGTGCCACCTGCTCTCCTGGTGGCATGCTTTGAACGGCACCGTGCTGACTCTGCCTCGCATTTGCCAAGACTTTGCATCACAAGTGTGCCTTGCCCCTGCCTGACACGCTGTGGAGTGGACTGGCTGGGCCCGCTCCAGGTCAGGTGTCCATCGTCCGGAAGCAGCTCCTCCTGGCCCAGGGATTGTGTCCTGCTATAGGGCAAGCTGGTGACCTTCCTTGGGTCTCTAGCAGAGTCTGTAAAAGGGAAAGCCGGGCATCTCCTCCTTCAAAACTCTGACTCAGAATTTATTTAGCATAATAAAACCCAAGAAACGTGGAAGCATCCTGGGCTTTGTGGATCTTTACTTCAGAGAAGTTTATAGAATTAAAATAACTATAAATTATGTGGGTATGCAATACTTTATAAATTTAAAGTTCTGTGGGGCTATCAGTAGATGCCAAATCATTAACTGGAAAAAGGCTCTTCAAAAAATCATTCTTTTCCTCTTTAAGACTTGTGCATGCTATGGAAATGGTAAGAACTTAAGGAAAAATTAAGGAATAAATTACTTTCTGTGGTTTTGTTTGTTCTCAGCCGCATAGTTCTTTGTCCTACGCCAGTAGAAGAGCCTCCTTCATGGCAACCAGAAAGTAAGCCCCTTGCCCCCATGTGTCTACCCCGCCACCTGTTCGATGGGCCTGATCCTGGCGACAGCGTCAGTGGCCACCACAGTGCCCGCTTCCCAGTGAGGTGTCGCAGTGTGTGACTCTTACATCAGGACCCCCTAGCCAGCAGAGTACCCTGCACATCACCCACTTCTCCATCAAGGATATGTGAGAGGTCTGGAGTGCACATCGCCACCCTCAGCATTCCAGTGTGTGTCGGAGTTCAGGCTTCAGGCTCCGCGGCAAAAGTAAACTTTGGCTTTGTTGCTCTAGCCCCACCATTCCCAGTAGTGTGGGGGCCATGCATAGTTAGTTACTGAATAGACAGAAAAATGAGCCAACCTTATCTCATAGTTTGGAGTGTGGGCTAAAGAGTGGAGAGTAACCCCAGGCATCTTTGAAGATGCTTCCCACTGCCTCCTGGCTGGCAGCTCTGTCCATCTTTCTGCCGCTGTCCATCTTTCTGGATGCAGACAGCCTGTATACCTTCTCACTCCGAGGGACAGTTTTGCTGTCGAGTTGAGCTGGCTGGTGAAACACTAGCACCTCAGCATAACCAGTGCTCACTGACACTCATTGAAGGCCACCTTGCGGTGGTGTGGCACCCTGAAATATCGGGGTAACTGCCTCAGTCCAGGTCCAGGGCAGTGGGTGCGTGGCTGTCCTCGCTTCAGAGTTTGCACTCTGCCTGTCCGTAGCCTTGTGGCTGTGAAAGTTGACTCCAGTAGGCCGGAGTTTCTGAGTCCCTCAGGGTGCTGTGGCTGTGCAGCTGCTGCTGCATGTCCCCACACCAGGTCCAGTGCTGAGCAGCGAATGGGGAGAGAGGTCAGAACCCTTCCCAAGGAGCAGGGAGCACCTCCTCCAAACTACACATAGGAAAATCAAAGACAGATTTTCCTAAAGAAACTGACACAAAAAGACAAACATTGGATTTCTGGAAAACTCTAGTCCATAGCCAGATAGTGTGGTGCACTTGTTTGAAACTTGAAAAGGCAAAGAACACAGTGAGGTGTCTCAGGACGGGTGCAGACAGGGCTGTGGGGGTGGGGTGTGCGAGCCTGGGAGCTGCTCGGGTTTCCACCTGGGCCACACAGCCCCGCCTGTGGATTCCCAGCAGGGGCCTCGAGGACTGCGCCTCAGAAGCTGTGAGGTGACAGGCCAGTGGAGCTGGCAGCCCAGCAGCTGCCCACGTGGTGGGGTCAGAGCCTCTTCTCATTGGTGCCACCTGCAGAGACAGGAAAGGAGCAGCTGGCCACTTAGAGAATGCCAGTGATACAATGACCAGTATAAATGTCAGCAGGGAGGGCTGAGGGTGGCCAGGGAAGGACAGAGTGCTGTGGGGCCCAAGGAGCCACCTCCAGAGATGGAGAAGTTCAAGGCTGCCATGCTGCTGGGAAGCGTGGGTGACGCGCTCGGCTACAGGAACCTCTGCAGGGAGAACAGTGCTTCAGGCTCCATCCAGGAAGAGCTGCAGAAGGTTGGGGGCCTGGACCACCTCGTGCTGTCTCCAGAGAAGTGGCCAGTGAGCGACAACACCATCATGCACATGGCGACTGCTGAGGCCCTCACCACAGGTCAGGCTCCCCGCTGCCTTGTGAGCTGTGCTGGGGGTGGGGGCTCAGATTCACAATGAGCACAAACTGCTCAGAAGCACCAGGCACCGTCTGTGGGCTGTTACCTGATGCCACTGCTAAAAGCAGCAACTTAATATGCCCAGTGTCCCTCAGCAAATCAGACAACCCATAGGTCACACTTCGCCTGCAGAGGCTCTTCACAGGGTAGTATTACTTTCTTTGTGCATAATTAAGAGTCAACTTGTCAGCAGCGACTGGCACTTGTGGAGTGTGGACCAGGCCTGTGCTGCCGGTCCCCAGATTAGCAGTTGAGCCAGGCAGTTTCTTGCTTAGCTGTTTGGGAGAGGCTGACTCTGTGGAGCTGAGCTGCCAGTTCTGAATTTATTGCAGCAGAACATAAAATGTGAGCCAGTCTGAAGCTTGAATCCATTAATATGATGTCTGGGCATTTCACCTCCATTCCAGTGAACTGTGCTGTGCCAGGTGCAGCATGTGATGGGCCAGTGCCACAGGTGGGAAAGGTCACCCTTAGTCAAGGAATAGAGAAAAGTGTTTACTGAAGCACCACGAGAGAGCTGCAAGGGAAGCCAAGAGAAGACCCCAGAAAGCTGAGATTTTTATATTTGACTTTAATGTGAGGAGGGTCTAGCAACATCATCCTTGGAGTACTGGCATCAGGTCTCGGTTGCTCTGCTGTCCCTCTGTCTCAGGTGTGAACACTGCAGGTAACATTTTGTTCCGCAAAGTCCAGTGCCCTTGGCATTGTTAGAAACAATACTTCTGGGTGACATTAGTGGACTGATGGGTAACTTTGGTTGAGGTATTGGGATAGGGAGAAATGATACTGCTAAGACATGGCAAGGTATTCTCTAAGAACATCCAGTGATGTCTGCGTTTTTGCATGTAACTTAAAGGAGGAAAGAAAGTTCTGCTATATGTTCATCACTCAGCTGCAGTGTGGCTTTTAAAGAAACACTGGAAAATAACCATGATTCCTCACAAGTATAGGTCAAAATACTGGCCAAAATGATTCTGCTTGGACACTACTTGTACATGGATGTGTTCTAAGGAAGTACTGCATAGTTGGATGTGGGGAATAATTTCTTAAACTATTCTGTAAGATGTATATGGATCTTAGGATCGACAAGGGTTTTCATGAGTTTCAGAGAAACAATTGACTCATAAACACGTTACACAGTTCTCCTGCATATCACGTGCCCTGCAGAATTAAGACCTGACAGCAGCTATTAAGTCAGTGGGGTTTCACCGACATTCAGTTCACCATTCCATTTACTTGTCGTGATCAGGCTCAATTTAGCTCTGCAGTCGCTGTGTAGGAATGCTTTCCACTGGCCCCTAAATAGCTGTGGAGCACACTGAAACAGGTCGATAAGATAATGTGTCACAGCTTGCTAAAGTGGTGAAGCACTCCCTTATGAAATCCAAATATTTCCTACTTCTGTGCTCATTGTGTAGGAATGCCCTTGACTGCTCCCAGAATAACTAAGGAGAGTGCCGAAGCATGTCAGTGAGATAAGGTGTCAAGGCTATTGAGGCATCTGACGTTTTCATGCAGACTTCTGTATCTCTGTGGACAGCAGTATTAAAGCAGTACCCAGAGCTCAGAACTGTGCCCTACCTTTCTGCTAAATCCTGCCGGCAGGCACACATATGATTGTAAACAATGTACCATCCATCAGCCCTTACTCCTGGAGCTTGTTTCTGTGTGATACCGTGTGGACACACTGCAGAACCCATGAAGGTCCCTTCATGTGCCCGTCTGTGGTGGGCAGGGTGGTTAGGCTGCTGTGCTGGATCTGGCCCTGTGGTCACCCTGGGAAGCGCTGGCACGGGTGGGGGCGGGCTGGAGATGAGACTGGGTCAGCAGGACACTGGACGGGGAGCCCTTTGCTCACAGCTTTATTTTCAGGGAGGAAGTGGGCCAATTGCCAGTGGTAACAGTGGCCAGAATGAAAGCAGGTGGTCAGGGAGCGCTGGGCTCTGCGTTGGCCACTCAGTAGTGGCTCACAAGGAAGTAGTGTCAGGCGTGCCCCTTTATCGATGCCTTCTTCAGAAACTAAACCCAGCATGTTTTATTCAACTCTCCAAATTTCAAAGTAGAAATTTCATCTAATTTTAGTTTTCACGTGGCTCAATTTTTTCTTGAAATGACAAACTAGTGCATTACAGAGGTCTTGGAGCCATGTTAATGACAATAGACGAACTGAGCAGGGCCACAGTGTGCCAGCCTGTCCTTTCTACATCCTAGTGTTACCCTGGGATGAGCAGGGAGCACTGGGGAGAATGATAACAGCTCTGTCATCCCCAGAATTGCACAAGGGAGAATGTTTGCAGGTGCTGGGGAGGATCAGGACAGTGTCCCATGGCCCACTAGCTTCAAGGCAGCATGAGGTGGCATCTGGCTGGTCGTCCATGCGAGCGAGGCATGTGATAGCTACGCTGTTGCTGGAGCCCAGGCCATGTAGGGTGCGGTAATGGTCTATTCCTTATCTCTGAGTGTTGTTGGCCTTCAGGATCTCAGGGTATAGGAGGCTAGCTCATTCCTGGCCACCCCTGATTTTCATCATCAAGTCAGAACAGAGAGGGAAACCTAGGGCTCTTTGGTCTCCTTCCAGGAAGCTGCATCCGCTGTCTGACTTTGCTGTCAGAATTTTATTTGGGTGCCTTGGGCCAGCTGTGGGGGGAAGGAGTAGAGCAGCTGCTCTGCCACTCAGAGCAGCCCAGGGATCTGCTGCTGGAGAACAGTCTGTAGTCAGATTCTAACCTGAAGGCAAGATTCTTTATGCCATTGTGTTTATGGACTTTGTGTGTTTGTTTGTTTGTTTGTTTGTTGCTCTAGAAACTTCAGCTTTAGTTTTATACTGGGATTTCCTGTATCTGGTTCCAGAATAAAAGTAAGTATCTTAAGGACTTGGAGGGGCAGGTGGGCAGGCCAGATTGAAGGAGAAAGGCCTTTTTGTCAGCTGACCCCACCGGCCAGCTAGGCCGTGTGGACAGCCCTAGGCTGCCTGGACAGCTCCAGGCCTCACCTCGGCCCAGCCCCTCTTCAGACCAGGTGCAGCCCTCTCTCCCTGGGGCACATACTCAGCCCAGCAGACCCAGGTCCCCAGCACCTCCCCAAGACTGGTGACAGGGGGACTACAGAGTCCATGCCCAGAGCCCCTCACTGTCCACAGGCTCTGCCTGCCTGGCCAGACCTGAATCTTCCTCCTGGTTCCAGCTGTGCCCTCAAACCCTGTGGGGGAGACTCAGTGCTTTGCAGGGTGCTGTCCCGCTGACCCTGGAGCTCTGGCTTTGATGCCCTGAGCTGGGCTTTCATTCTTCACCTTTTCCTGCACCATTCCTGTACCTTGCCCTCATCATCTCCACCCTCCTCCATCCCTACCCTTGCACCCCAAGACAGCAGGCATCACAAAACACCAGGGCAGAGGCCGCCTCCCACAAGGCACCGTGTTCCCCTTGTGGCACCCTGGCCATGAGTGAAGTCATGTGGCCAGCTGGCACAGGACCGTGAATAGCACCCCTACTCCTGAAGCTTCAAGCTCCCTTATGCACGGCTGTTCACAGGATGGCCAGGCCCATGGGCCCCAGCCTCAGCAACATGTGCTGTCCACCATGCTGTGGACCAGCATCCCAGCCAGAGAGCTCTTACACAGGAAGACATTACCTTCCTGACCTTTTCTGAGAAAACATGACAAAGGAGGACCCAGTCTGAGAGCTCATATTTGGCCTCCTACACTTCGACAGCCCAGGGACAGTGGGCCACAGGCAGCAGTGCCTGTGGGCTGGCTCCTTGTCCCACATACCCATGATCTTGGGTGTGTAGTGCTGTATTTGTCCCCAGATTATCCCTTGAGGGGCAGGGAAACAACTTGACCAGAGTGGCACTGCAGGCTCCTGGCTTCCTTGAAGCCAGCAGAGTCAAGAACTAGAGACAGGCAAAGCCCAGCCTCCATCCCATCCAAGGTGGGGCAGCTGGGGCTCTGCAGTGACCCTGACATGGACAGAGCCATCAGTTCCCCGAATGTCATGTGGGACAGGACAGGATGTCTGGCATCCAATGAAATCTGAAGAGAATCGTCAGGTGTACCTCTGGGTGGCCTCTATCTCCACTGCCCAAGAGGCACGGTTGGCCTGTGCCACAGACCAGAGCTGCTGCCTGTGCTGACCCCTGTCCCTTTTCTCCTTCCCAGACTACTGGTGCCTGGACGACCTATATCGTGAGATGGTAAGGTGCTATGTGGAGACCATAGAGAAGCTTCCAGAGCATCGGCCTGACCCAGCCACTGTGGAGGGCTGCTCACTGCTGAAGCCAGATAACTACCTGCTGGCCTGGCACACGCCCTTCAGTGAAAAGGGTCAGGAGCTCTTCCCATTCCAAGCTGGGTGCCTGTCTGTGTGTTTCTCAGCTTTCCTTGTGGGCTTTGTCCTCCACCCAGCAACGATTTCTATACGGAGCTGGTCTGGGGCCCGGCATGGAGGCAGCCATCCCTGTTCTATGCCTCCTTGGGGTGGGTGGGGCTGACAAGCTGCAGCCAAGGCTATGGCTCCTGGGGACCCACTGCCAAGACAGCCACAGCCAGGGCTGTCCCTGAGAGGAGGGCCTCATAGGAGTGGCAGAGACACAGGTAGGACAGACCTGCTGCACTGGCAGCCAGGTAGATAGAGGGAAATTCCTGAGTGAGCTGGCAACCTGAAGACCTGCAGACGTCTGGAGCACACAAGATGCGTGGGGGCTGGGGCAGTGCCAGCCTCCTAAAAAGAGAAGCCAGTGCTATCGGTTGGGATCACAGATTGGTATGCCCTCTGTTCCCCTCAGCTCTCTGCAGGAGTCTCAGGACCTGTGAAGCTCTGAAGCAATAAGCAGAAGTGGGCATCCAAGGTTGGCGCTTTGCTTCGTGCGTGTTGGCAGCTCCCGGACAGAGCTCACAGTCCCCTGGGCTGCACTGCACTAGGCAATTCTCTGCCACAGTTGGAAAGGAAGCCTTCTGCTGCAGACTGGGAAAGAAAGCAAAGCCAAGCAGTGTGCCTGGCCCTGCCCCCCTGCCTTCACAGAAAGGATGCTTGTGGAGAGAATTCACAGTGAATCCAATTGTATCAATCGTGGCCTCATACTTAAAGGGTTCAAAGTCTCCAAATAATGGCCCACAGGCTGGACCAGAAAATAAGTCCCCACTGTGTGCTGCCTACAGAAAATGCTGCCTAGTATGTGGACAGCAGAAAGGTGGGAAGAGTGTACAATTCCGGTGCCTGGCTGGGTATGGCCCTGGTGAGACATGTACTTGGCAAGCAGAGGCTCCAGTTCCACTCCCAAGCAACACAACCAAGCCAGCAAACAAACCAAGGTCAGGGTAGCTGTACTAACATTCACAGTAAATTCTGAAACAAAGTCTGTCCCCAGGAATAAAGCGGGTAGAGTCAAACGGGGATACTGGCTGGGTCATCACTCTGTCCACACCAACAGATTCACGTACTTTCAAGGATGAGAGGCAAATGCGTGCTGCGGCAGAGGGACTGGCAAATCCACAAGTACAAGCAGAGATTCCAACATTGATTTCTTCACTTCAAGGAACTAAAAATATAAGCACAAATTAAACCCAAAAAAGGGGTTGTGGGTTAGCTCAGTGGCTCAGGCGCTTGCCTGCTAAGCATGGAGGTGTGTTTGATCCTTGATACCAAAAAACAAACAAAAAACCCAAAGGAAGATGACGAGATAATGGAGACCAATGACTAACGGGAAAAGTGAACCCAGAAGTGGCTTCTTCAAAACAGATAACCCTTGGCTGTGCAGTTTGGGCACCCCAGTCTTCCCAGCTACTTGGGAGGCTGAGGCAGGAGGCCAGCCTGGGCAGGGTAATAAGACCCTGTCTCAAAATAAGTAAACTAAAGCAGGCTGGGAGGGTAGGTTAGTGGAAAGATCTGGGCTCAGATCTGAAGAAACAGCTGATACTGTCCTAGCTAAGCAGAAGAAGAGGCTGCATTATCCAGAGCAAACATGAAGGTGAGGCCATGCAGCCTGCAGAAATGAGAGTTAGGAGTGGGGACACTGTCACCAGTTTCACCTGTTATGCCAGTAAGTCTAACAGTGCAGACAGCATGGACGCAAACCACTGAAGCTCCGTGTGAAGAGGCAGAAGACCCAGATGGCTCACAGTTCACAGAGAACCACAGAGAAGACTGTGAGGATCGGACCAGACACTCACAGGAAAGACAGCAGCTGTGTGCATGGCTCCTGCAGAGAGCTTGTTTTCAGCTTCCTATGTATGTAGGATGGAATCTGATTGGCTACACCCCTCTTCTGTGCCTCTGAGTTCTGCCTCAGAGATTCGGGGCAGGGCGGGATGGGAGGGGAGAGCTGGGCCGTGGGCTCAGACATACACCACAACGAACACCACTCGGGCCACAGCCACAGAAACCATTCAACCATGGGCGAGGCACCACCACACCTCTGACTGGAGTGGGGAAGAGGCCTGCAAAGCCAGCAAGGCGAGAGGCAACTGCTGACGGGGCAGAAGTGAACTGGGCACTCTACAGGTGAGCGGGCCATTCCTCAGGGTCACACATGCCTGAGCCCAGGATCCAATGCTCCTGAGCAGGCATCAAGGGAGAGGAATGCACAGCTCGTCCCGGCACCTACAGCAGCCTCGAGTAGGGACACCGGCCACCTGTCAAGGATGAGCGGGTGACCAGGTACACGGCGTCTGCCCCATCCAGCAGCAGGAAGGGAAGCCAGGTGCGGCCATAGGACAAGGTAGTTAGGCTGACAACTGGGCGAAACAGAGTCCTTGTCAGGCCTACTCAGGGCCCTGCGTGGCCAGGCATGGGGCCCACATGTCCTCTGAGCCTTGGCGCTGGCTGCAAGCTGTGCATACAGCTGTGCCATTCACTGTGTGCCAGCCAGAGCCAGGGGAGCTGCTATCAGAGAAAAGGCCGATTTGGTTGAGAGCAGGCAGTGGGAACAGTCCCACTTCCACTCTTCCTGGGCAGGTGCCCATTTTGAGCCCACCCCTCCCACCGAGTCTGCTGTTAGTAGCTGTGTGACCTCTGACACAGAGTGAAACTGTGACAGCTGGCTGATGTCCAGCTCTTCGGTGTGACAGCTGGCTGATGTCCCCTCCTGGTGGATGTGCTGTTGCATCCCTGTGTGTGCACTGAAAGTCACTGGAGAATGCTGTTTGCTGGGCATGGGTCTCAGCGTGCAGTCTGAACCTGGTGCTCCCACACAGGCTCGGGCTTTGGTGCAGCCACCAAGGCCATGTGCATCGGCATGCGGTACTGGAAGCCAGAACGGCTGGAGACCCTGGTGGAGGTCAGCGTCGAATGTGGCCGGATGACCCACAACCACCCCACAGGTGCGGCACATAGATGTCCTCTTCGGCCCAGCCCCAAGCAGGGCCATTTCTCAGTCTTAGCTTTGCTTTAAGTCCACTTTTTGTGCTGTGTGAAGCAGGCGATGGGGAGAAAGCATGCAGGGCAAGATTCTTGTGGCTCCTGATACTTTCCCTGTCAGAACGGAAGAGAGGAGAGGCATAGGCCACAGCCCTGATGCTGGGCTCCAGGTTGAGTTGGGCAAAGTGCAACCTGCCACCCTGGTAGCTCTGGGAGGGGTATGGAACCCAAGCTAGCCTCAGGCTCCCCTACCCCATGTCAGGGACCAGGACAATGGCAGATGTCCCTGGCAACTTTACACAGTGTTCTGCATAGTCCCAGGACAAGGCCAGTGCCACGGGATTTTCCCAACAGCATGTAAGCATCACCCAGAGGGACTTGTTCTCACAGAGGGCAGATAACAGCTGCCCAGCCCAGCACACGGCTCTGGGCAGTGACCCAAAGTCATTAGGAGGTGCTGTGTTGCTGCCTACTGCCTTCAGCCTTCCATTGCAGGAGCCTCCAAGGTCACCTTTCCAGGGCTGGTGTGGCCGAAGTCCCTCCCTCATCCCCCTAAACTGTGCCCCCAAGAGCAGCACTGAACTGCGTGGCATGTGCCAGGCAGATACTAGGCACTGGGCCATGCCAAGACTGCCAGGCCTGTGTTCTCTGCCCATAGCTTCTGAGTCAGTCCATGGGCCAAACCTGGGTGACCAGACAGGAGCTCACGTTGGGTACCTGATGACTGACTGCTCAGCCAGTAAAAATCACTTAAAGTGCTATCAGGACCCCAGTGGCCCCTCTGAATTAGCCTCCAAAGCACTTGCCAGTGTGTCTCTGCTCTGGCTTGAACACCCCTTTGCAAGCCTACTAGCAGAAGAATCCATGACTCTGGGCTGGGCCTGAAGGCCTCAGGGTATAGTCCATGCGATGCACTTGGAGTGCCACCCTCCCCTTTCCTGTGCGAGCCTCCTGGGCAGCAGGCATCACAGTGACTGTGTCTGTGTCCCTGAGCACCTGCCAAGTCCAGGAGGAGGCTGGGACTCGGTGTCCAGGGGGACACCACTGGGGTTCTCAGACCTCGTGTGGGGTTGTCCTACCTTTGGGGTGGGGGAGACCCAGAGCCATTGTGGTGTTGGTCTCGTGGATGGCCTTCTCCGAGGAGCAGCCATGTTAAGTGGCTGCCTAGTCCTTACCTGATGAGGTCTGATACGGAGCCGATCCCCCATGGCCCCGGAGGGGTAGAGGGGCCTGAGGCCAGGATCCATGCAGCTGCATCCCTTGTGCTGGGAGGCATCAGAGCAATTTCTCCCCAGGCTTCCTCGGGTCCCTGTGCACAGCCCTGTTCGCATCCTATGCGGTGCAAGGAAAGCCACTGGTGCAGTGGGGGAGAGACATGCTGAGGGCCATCCCCCTGGCCGAGGATTACTGCAAGAGGACCATCCGGCACATGGCAGGTGAGCAAAGCTGGTCCCTGGACATGGGTGATATGCTCACCTGGCAACTCCCAGAGCTAGAGTTCACCCAGGCCTCTGCCTCTGCCTACAGCAGCAAGGAGGTTCCGCACTGACCCTGTGCTGTCAAAGGAAGAAGAGCCTGGAGAGGGACGTATTCCCCCAGAAAAAGGGGGCCCTCCTGTACCCTGAACCTCCCTCCTCACCTCTGCCCACCCTGGAGGAGTGTGTCCCTGCCACAAGTCCCAGAGATCCCAACGCCAGTGCTGTGCTAACCAGTAACAAGGCCCCAGGAGTCCTGCCCTGTTAAGATTTGGAGGAATGAGTGTCAGGAGGCCCTGCTGAGGGGAGCCACAGGTCAGACCAGAATCACGAGGTGCTCTCTGCCAAGGCTTCTAGCAGGTTCTTTTACCCACGAGGGGCCCCTCAGCTCTAGGAAGAAGGTGAGCTGCCAGGAGAGCACCCCCAAGATATTCTTCTATGTTGAGGTCCCCTGCTGGCATGTACTGGTGGAGGGGAGAGAAGGGGAAAGTGCAGGGATGGGGTCACTGCCTATCATACCAGCCTGAGGGTCACTTTAGTGTCAGCCTGTGAGGGAGCCTCCAGAAACAGCTTTAGGAGGTCACACTTGCATTGATGGTCACAGCACTAGAGGACACTGGGTCTGTGGTGACTGCCAGCCTGACTCAGGACTGTCCCCCTCTCCTGGGCTTGGCCACTGTGAGTTCCACTCAGGACACAGTCACAGCACCAGGCTTCATGTCCTGTTGCCTGGTTCATCCGTCCCAGGGGGCACAGATGTCTTTCCAGCATGTCAGGGAGAAGCGAGTTTGTGATCTTGTAGGGTTGCAGGCCTGGGGTCAGTGAGGTCCTACAGAGAGAAGCGGGCACCCCAAGCACAGAGCCACCCAGCCCAGCACCACACTCAGGGTGCCTCCTCAGTATTTTCTGTGGGACAGTCCAGGCCTCATGAGGGTGGAGCTCACCAGCTGGCTGAAGTAGGGACCGTGCCCTACTTTACACCAGCCAGGGATGGCTCTGTTGGTATCATATTTGTTACTGGAGCCCCAAGTCCTCTGACAGGGATCCCCAGCCCACCCTCACAGGCAGCCCAGAGGATGGGCTGATACCCTTGGGATACCTTCCTCTGGGCCATTCCTGTTCTAACACACCCCACACCAGCCTGGGCTTCGTACAGCTGTAGGTAAGAGCCATCTGGCCACAAGCTGGCCCCTGGGTGCTGTGCACCCACACTGCCTCTGTTCCAAGTCCAGGCTTGACCCCTGTGGGTCACAAGGTCAACCATGCAAGCCTAGCACTTCCCAAGACCCTTCTCTCCACACTGCCCCGGCTCCGACCATGTCTGCAGTTCTGTCCCTTGCACCTGGCTCCATCATGAGACAGGGCAGTCATGCCTAGCCTGAGGGCTCAGGAGCTCCAGAAGGCTGCCATATGGTGCAGCCTCCTCAGTGACAGGACCACCAAGGGTTGCCATGTGTTTTGGGAGCTCGGGAAGAAGCTCTTCACTAAGAATCTGGGACTTGCCTTCCCTATGCAGAGGCACCGTGTTAGTTAGTGAACATAGTGCTTGGTTTTCTGCAAGAAGATGCAGGTTCATGCAGCTCTGCCAGCTCCAGGCTGGAAGCACGGTCATCTCCACCTTCCTCCTGCAGTCCAGAGCAACCACCCTGGTGCAGACCCCAGTCATCTCTCTGTCCTACCTGAGCTGCCCACGGAATGACCCAGCCTCTCACCTGTGCTTGTTTCTAGAGTACCAGGAGCACTGGTTTTACTTTGAAGCTAAATGGCAGTTCTATCTGGAGGAGAGAAAAATCAGTGATGACTCAGAAAATAAAGCCCAGTTTCCTGACAACTATGGTGATGCAGAGGAGAGGGACAAGGTGAGCCTCACCCAGCCCTAGGGCCACATGGTCAGTGTGCAGAGTAGTGCATGGGGCACGTGAAGGAACGGTGGTGCTGATACATGGGTGTGTGGTTTCTCCTGCTGAGAGCCAGCATCCTGGAGTGAGGGGAAGGGGTGGAGGGGCAGTCAGAGAGAGGGATGGACTGAGGGAGGGGTGGGGGAGTGGGAGGGTGGACAGACAGGTAGATGGCAGCTGCCTGCACCAGTGTCCTGCTTGGGACATGGCTCTGACCCAGGCTCTCTCCAGATTTACAAGAAGTGGAGCTCAGAAGGCCGAGGGGGACGCCGGGGCCATGACGCACCCATGATTGCCTACGATGCTCTTCTTGTGGCGGGCAGCAGCTGGGCTGAGCTGTGCCACCGAGCCATGTTCCACAGAGGTGAGGCACCCTCTGTCCTGGAGCCTCAGCCTTGGAGGGGCAGCCCCAGCTTTGCTCCCTCTGCGAGGCTCTCCCCACAGGGCCCCTGCAGGCACCCAGCTACCTCCACGTCTGTGGACCTGGGAATCCCACCAGCCAGTTTGGTGACAGGGCTCCTGCCCTTGGTGCTGCCACTTCCAGAGTGGCCATCCCTCGGAGGTGTGGCATGACTCCAACCTCCCACACAGTGTCCCAGGTGGGTTGGCTTCGCTTTTAAGCCAGTTTCTCCTGGCAGTGCCAGCCCATGGGGAGCTGAGTGTGGAGCAGGGATGGGGTGGGGTGCTGGTATCTAGGGCAGCACCCCTGGGTCGGGGGACAGCAAGTGGAGGATCCAGGAGGCGAGTGAGTGGGTGGAGAGCTAGTGGAGCCAGAGCTGAGGCAGGAGAGAGGGGAGTGCAGAGGAGAGAGGAGCCAAGATGCTACAGTCACAGAGGGGAGGGGCCAGTACCACACACTGTGGTCTCAGCGCCCGCAGCCCTGAGCCTGGCTCAGCAGCCAGCATGTCTCAGTGCGAGTGTGAGTCTGTGTGTGCGTGAGTGTGTGGTTTGACTGTATGCATGGATTGATGGGTGTGAGCTGTGTGCTTCAGTGTGTGAACATGGTCATGAGTGTTTCTGTGCATGTGTGAGTTTACTGTAGTGTGTGGGAGTGTTGGGAGTGTGAATGAGAATTTCACTTCAGGTGTGTGGTGTGAATGTCAGTGTATGAATCTGGGTGTGAGAGTGGGTATGTGTGAATGTGCATGTGAGTGTGTGTGTGTGCATTTGACAGTGTGTCCACGCACATGTCTGCTTGGATGTGTTTCCATGTGGGTGTGACTGGGACCATGAGTGTGAGAGCTGGTATGTGTACATGTGAGAGTGTGTTGTGTCCATGCACACATTCACATGGCTGTGGGTTGGTTTGCTACTAGGCAGGTGTCATTGGTGGCGCCCAGGCCATGATGCTGTTGCCTCAGCCTCCTCTGCAACATCCTGTCACCTCCCTGTGGGGTGGAGGGGACGCCATGCAGTCCGGGTCGCTGGAGCCGGGCCACCTGTGTTTACCTTGCAGGTGAGAGCGGCGCGACAGGAGCAATCGCCGGCTGCCTGTTTGGGCTGCTGCATGGCCTGGACACTGTCCCCCAGGGCCTGTACCAAGAGATGGAGCACAGAGCCAGACTGGAGGAACTGGGCATCGCCCTGCACCGCCTGTCCACAGAGGAAAAGTAATGCGCGTCCGCAGCCCTGAGAGGGCGCCCTGGGGTCCATGCACGCATGCACGCAGGCACACACACACATGCACACACACGCACACACATGTGTGCGTGCACAGGACCCCTGCCCCCGAGGGAGGGTGCACTGCGTGGCCTTTACAGGTTAACTCCCTTCTGAATACCACGTGCCACATCAAGTCCATGGTTTGTCCTCCCAGAGTATTTTTCCTGACCTCACTGGAGTCTAGAGCTGTTTTGATTTTATCCTGGCCCTGCTATGCTCAGGTCTGCAAATACAGCACAAGACTAGTCCGCAGGACAGTGGTCTGTGGTGTTCTGTTGCAATGCATGCCACTTGCTCACTTATTTCAACAATGCTGACCACGGTGCCTCTCCTTTCGAGCACCTGCCCACTGTCTGCCTCCTCCATGTGGGCCTGGATAGCTGGTGCGCCCACAGCCTCCTGGCACTATAGGCAGTGGCTGTCCTCACTGTCAGGCAGGTGTGTCCTCACATGGAGGCACCCACACCAGATGCCATCAGGAAGCCGAAGGCCTTGTGTTTCGCCTCCCAGGCCAAGTTTTTAGCCACACTAGGGCTCTGGAACCAGAGCAGAGGTCTCTCACCACTGCCTGTCTGGTCCCCTGCATCCTCTTGGCATACTGTCTGGGGGTGGGGGGCTGAAATCTCCCTGGGGAGGGAACTGCCGTGCTGAGGGCCTCAGTGACTTCGGGCACATCTGTCATGCTGACTGGGGCCAGCCCAGCCTGTGTGTGTAGCTTAGAGCTTCAGGGTAGAGTGTGGCCTTGCAGGCAGTGTGGACAGAGGCCAGGCCTCTTCTCTCTTGGGCCTAGCTTCTGATGCAGCTGTGGGCAGCACAGTGAGGGTGCTGTCTCCAGTCCAATCTGGCATGCTGGGATCTGAGCTGTGCGTCCTGCCCCCGTTTTCCTTCCTAGGCCTGGTGGAGGGGCAGGCACCCTGGCTTGGGAACTACTGTGTCTGCTCTGGGGCGGGGTGGGGCTGTGTGGATGGAGGGCTGTGGGAGCCCGTGTGAGTCGTGGCTGGGTACGAGTCAGTGACCTGCTTTCAGCCAGAGCTGGGAGGCAGGAGTGGGCACAGGCCCACGTTGCATCGCCAGCGGAGGGGTCCCTACAGAAGAACACTGCCAGGCATGCACTGCCCCCAGACCTTGCAGAGCTGGCCTCCTTCCTCAGCCCTCCTCCCCTGCCTTGTGCCAGCTGTCCACCTACAGTGCTTCATGGAGCTTAATTTACTGTGTATGGCCCTGGGTACTGAGCCCAGAGGTTCTCTGCCCTGAGTGCACCCCAATTTTCCTATTTCTTATGCTCAGACAAGGTATCCCAAATTGCCAGAGCCCCAAACTTGTGATTCTCCTGCCTCGGCTTCCCAAGTAGCTGGGATTACAGGGGTGCACATGGCACCTATTTGTTTCCATTTCTTAACAACTTTAACCCTCTGTTCTTTAGGGTTACTTTAATGCTACTTTCTCACCTCTTCTGAACAGAAATCAATCTGCCAGCAGCACAGTAATGTTGTGTAGCTGGGATGTGAGTTTTCCTCTGCTATTTCTGAATCAGTGATGTGTCCTGTGGCACTGTGCCCTGTGGTTTACTGGTGGAGCCCTAAGAAACAATGTGTATCTATGACCAGGCACCCTTGGACCTGAGAGGTGTGGTTGTCCAGGGCATTTTTGTCCAGGGATCCAGGTGGACCATGCAGTCACCGGTGCCCTGGGTCCCTGGGGTGACGCAGGCAGGCATGGAGGAAGATGTGGCCTGCACCCCTGCTTTTCTGCCTAAACTATCACAGACTCCTCTCTCGGGGCTGGGGGAGGTAGGGGCAATGCTGGGATGCAGGACCTAGGGTTGGGGTCATTGGAAAGCTGTCCCGAGAGAGCAGAGCCCCACAGCCCTGGCACCCTCAGACATGCACATGGGCCCTGTGTGGGAACCCTGGTGTGGGCAGAGGCTGGACAGGGAGACACAAGTCCTAGACCTAAGACTAGGTTTGATTATTTTATTTCCTAAACTTGATCAATGGCTGAGCGATCTTTCATGTGTATTTAAACTCATTTTTCAGGGTTTTCTTATCTAAAAGCCAGGTGAGATGTGAGTTTGGCAGATGTATCCTTTGTGACATTGGAGGGAGCAGGTCCTGGAGGTTAAATGGCTGAGCAGGCAGGATAGCTTTTCAGAGAGGCTCTTAAAGACCCTGAAGGGCCAGGGATGCAGCTCAGAAGTGTAAGTGCCTGCCTGGCAAGGGTGAGGTCATGAGTTTGATCCCCAGTACAAAAAAAAAAAAAAAAAAAAAAGACACTGAAAACCTGGGCAGATGGAGCTTGTTATCCAGGTTACTCAGGAGGTTGAGGCAAGAGTATCTCTGGCTCAAGGCCAACCTCAGCAATTTAATGAGATCCTATCTCAAAAGAAAAAAAAGACACTGATGAAATAATGGCAAAATTTAAAACACATGCTGTAAAATGTGAGCATCCCTGTGCCCCCACAGCCTGGACTTAGGCAGAGCTCCCTGAAGCTTGGGGTCGGGAGCCTCCCAAGTCCATACTTGCCATGAGCACAGTGAGCTTGACCACCTCACCTGGAGTGGATCAGAGGAGGAAGGACCTTACACCCAGTGTGCCCTGCCCTGTCCTACGCTGCCCTTGGCCAGCTTGAGCAGCCCTGGGGCTAGCTGGTGGACGTACCCAGACTCCGCCCAAGGCCCCATGAGCTGCAGAGAGCCTTGGTCACAGTGCTGGGCCTGAACCCCTGGGGATCATCCCTGCTGTGTCCCTCACTTTCAATCAGGATTTGGGAATAAATGGTGTATACGCAGGAGGGGCAGGGAAGGAATCATGTGGCTTCTCAATCCAGTCACACAGCATGGAGGGGGTGCAGTGACAAGTGAGATTACAGCCGTGATGCTGCTCCTGACCTTTTGTTGTTCAGGGGCCACTGCAGGTGACCCTGGGGTCATCAGCCCTCACATAGCTCCTTGCACCCAAGCAGGGACCATTCTGGGCCACTACCTACCTCTGCCTGGGTTCAGACAGGAGCCCTGGCAGTGACCTCCCAAGTGTCCCAGTTGCCAGGGAGCCCAGAGCCTCCAGGCCTGCCCCAGGGCCCTGTGTCATGTGGTCCTTGGGCACCACATGTCACATAGTAGCTTTGCTTCCTTCCTTCTACGTTTCTCTTATTTTCCGGTGCTTTCAAACTCACAAAAAGTCAGCACCCAGGCCTCCTCCACCCTGCTCGCCATCACTGATCTCAGGCCACATCACCTCAAGTCTTGTTGGCTTTGCTCACTGCACACTTGCGCACTTCACAGACATGGCAATGCAGAGACACAGAGCCAGACAGAGACAGCCGCAGGACACACACAGGCACAGACAGACAGAGGGCCACACAGAGAGCCAGACCCAGGAGCTTGCAGGTGTGTGCACACAGGCACGTGCACGCACAACCACACACACACACACACACACACACACACACATACAAGCACTTTGTTCAGGTCCATCTGAGACTCACCTGCATGCATGACTGTCTGCATTTCAGTGACCTCAGTCAAGGATGTGCTCTTCTGTGGCACCCACGTGACATTGTTACCAGCCTGACAGCACCTTTTGGTGTGTTATCAGATATGCCAGGGCCCTTTTCATCCATTTATTAAACTGCAAACCCACCAGACAGGCTCAGTGCTCTGCTCCCCACGCAGCAGCCCAGCTAGTGCTGAGTGCTGAGGGGGCAGTGTGGCCTTGTGGCCCCAGCTGGCCTCCAGAGCTCTCTGCTGATGGGCCGTACCTTGGAGCCCAAGGGTACCACTCAGCAGCCCTTGGCCCCACAGCCTGGGGTGCCAGGCCTGGGTTGCAGCTTTCACGGCCACCTGGCTGTTTCTAGGAGCCAGACATGTGGGCTCTCTAATTCAGCAGTGTGCTTCCAGCTGTTTGCAGCAAGAATGGTGCTGCTGGGGAGAGGCACCATGTGTGCGTGCGTGCGTGCGTGCGTGTGTGTGTGTGTGTGTGTGTGTGTTCGTGCGCACGCGCTTGCACTTTCAGATGTGCTGCTGGACACAGCAGTTGACCATGACCCTGGCAAGACAAGGATGATGCGGCTGCCTTGCCAGCTTGCGCTGTACCCGCTGAGCCCCAGCTTCTGAGCGTTTTAGAAAGAACTTTCTCTTTTGGCATTAGGCTTTTCTTATTTGTGAATAATAGATGTACTTGTGAAATCTGGGGCCCTGGGCAGAAGAGGAGAGCCCTGTTCTGAAATCCACCTGGTGCTGTGCCCACACACACAAGGCCTCCATTCCTCCGTCAGGAAGACCCCACCCTTTAAAACCTGCCTTCTTGGTTGAGAGAACTGCTGCACCTGACGTGCCTCTTTCCCTAATGCTAGTGTGGCCACCCTGCCCTGCCTGGGTGCACAGGGCCAAGTGGACACATGGGCTGTCAGCACCCACCACCTGTCATCTGTGGGCACCAGTCCTTGTACCAGGTACTGCTTGACTGGGAACTGAGCCTGTCAATGGCTGGGCAGAGCAAAGGAGACCACCAAGGGGCAACCTTGGAGATCCTTATCCTTAAGCCACCTTGTCGTTCTAGAGCAGAGCTTGGGGAGAGTGATTAGAACCCTGCCCATGAGCCAGGGATTCAGGGGCTGTGGGCAACAGACCACAACTTCCCCGCTGTGCCCCAGGCAGAGGGAGCAGGGGCCTGCATGGCTTATGCTGGATGCATCAGGAGGAAGTGTCCATGAAGCTAGGATACTTTGGCCACATGGCATGTGAGCTGGGCAACCACCATGTGCTGGGCGAGGTGGAGCAGGGAGACATGTCACCCCTCTACCTCAAGCCCCATGGTGTGGGAGCCAAGGTGTCTCTACAGAGACGGGCGCACAGTGCCCTGGGACCTGCGACAGGGACATCCTAGGGACAGACAGGTAATGGTCATGGAGCAGGTGGGTCCCCACGGCAGGACTAGCAGGGGTGCACCTAGCAAGTGTGGAGAGCTCGTCCGCAGACAGCTGGTTGTGGCAGTGTGGCTGCTCATCAGCAGGGCCCAAACACATTTCATAAACCAGCGTGTGCTGTGGGCCCCCAGTGTTCCACAGGCCTTTGGGGATGATACGGAGCCTTATTTGAGCTCATCTAAGATCCCACTACTCCAAGGAGGAAGCGGAGGTGAGTGGACTCCTGCAGCAGGGTCACACAAGCCCTGATGGCCACAGCATGCCAGGGACTTAGGTGTGGAGGTCGAGGCCCAGCTGCCAAGGATAGAAAGGGGAAGGAACTGGGGCCTATGGGGGCGGGGTGGGCAGGGCTACCCCGCCCCCCTGCCCCTGAGTGCCACATGGCCCCAGCAGGGCTCTGGTGGCCTGGAAGCTTAAAGCTGAGCAGCTTGGCCTCTTTGTCTTTCAGATGACCTCCCCTGCCAGCCAAGGCAATAACGCCTGGATCAGGAAGCTTGCTGTGCCCATGTTTGCGTTGGCCCTTGAGGGATTCGGCTCTGGTTCATCTGAGCACCGGAGGGATTTGGTTCCAGAGACTCAGTCATGCGTGAGGCTGCTGCTGGGGAGAAGCCAGGGTGTCCACTCAACACAGGCCAGGGCACTAGATCACGGGCTGGTCAAGGTGCTGGTCACAGAGGGGAGACCTGGACAAAGGCAGGGCTTTGTTACTCCAGTTCTGTGGCCTCTGGAGTTCCCAGTGCCTTCATCCCACTGTGGGGTCAAGCCAGGACCCAGGAGCCCAAGGACATGACGGTGGCTAGGGCTCACCAAGAGGGTGTAGATAGGAGGGGCAGACTCCACAGGGCGAGGAGGCCGTGGGCGGTGGGCGGCGCGAGCAGGGGCAGGCTTAGGGCAGGAGGCGCTTGCTGGCAAGGGAGGAGTGAGTGGCCCACTTCTCTGTCAGCCAGCAGGACAGGACAGCAGCATGTGAGCACCCCTGCCCCAGCCACAGGTGTGGACGGGGCCCAGTAAGGATCCCCGAAAGAGAGTCCAAGGTGCTGGTCCAAGCTAAGGTGCTTCCCTATCCGCTGGAAACTTTAGAAAAGCGTCTGACCTGCTCCGTGATGAAGCGCACCTCTGAGGTCACTGCAGCATAGTGGAACTTTCCAGAACTTCAGCTGGGCTGATTGTTGTGCCCACACAAGGAGATAGATGACCCTGTGGGGGCCACATTGGCCTTTGCTGGTGGGTGCCAGACCTCACACTGGGCACCATAGCAGGCCTGAGCCAGAACAGCCAATAGGTATGGCCCACTGTGGCTCCATGGTGTGGGTAAGGGCACACAGCAAGTCCACCAGCGTGGGACCTGCTCGTCATGTGTGTTATCATCCTTGGGTGGGCCCCTAGAGGGGGTACCCACAGTGCAGTGGGGAGTACAGCATCCAGACTTAATGCAGCCTTAGTGTGACCCCACCTGTTCCAGATCACCCATCTTGGGAGGCAGGACTGAAGCCAGAGCTCAGTTTAGCCATGAGACTCAGAGGGAGGTGGGGACCATCAAAGCCATTAGTCAGATGATCAGAATGTCCCCACTGCACGCAGCTGGGCAGCTTGTTCAGTCATCTTAATGACTCAACCTGAAGAGTCCTGGAGATGATTGAAATAGCCTGGCCAGCCCCAGAGTGGAGTGTAGAACTCCCTGGAGACAAGGGCTCCATCGACATTCTCCCCACCTGGGCAGGTGAGTCTGGCCCCTGAATGCCAGGTCCTCACCCACTGTGCCCTCAGGTCCTGTGGCTGCCAGTGTCCTGACACATGGGACTTGGCTGGGGCATGAACTGGGACTCACCCGTAGGAGGATTTCAGCCCCACGGCAGAGCAGGGATGGATATACAGAGACGCAGGGCCCTGGATGAAGTGTGTAGCGTGGTGCAAGTCAGGCTGGATCCTGTGTGTGCAGGGTCCTGGGTGAGGGTGACATGAGATGAGAGTGGAGGGCAGTTTCCTCAGGAAGAACAGAGAGGGCACTGGTGCTAGAGGCCAGGCAGGGGTTGTGGTCTGGGGTCGGCAGTGGGAACACAGGAGCCTGTGGCTGGCAGGTGGGGGGATGTTATTCTACCATCTGTCATGGGCTGGGGTGAGTGAGCCCAAGGGCCATGTTTCCCAGGGACAAAAACATCCAGCATACCTGATTGCTTGGGGTGAGCGGCAGAGTGGTGTAGGGTTAAGGAAATTTTGGCTTCCCAGGATGCCTGGGGCTAGAGATGCCACCTGAAGAGGCAAGGGAAACAAGAGGGGGGAATTTGGGGTGGCCCAGGGGGGAGTTTGGGTGCCTGTGCCGGGGCCAGTCCCCCGGACACTAAGCCTAAGCAGCCACTGCTAGAAGATGCCCATGACTTACTTGGCCCTGGGACTTGAGTAACGCTGCCCGAGTGTAAACTGCTTACCGCAGGGAAGGTATGGTTATGGCACCACCTCCTCTCAGCCATGTCCTAGCCCCAAACCCAGGCAGTGAGCACGGCCTCCCGGAGCTCAGCACCAGCACAGCTGAGTCCTCCAGGGCCTGGCAGGGAGTCTTAGACTGCGTGGGAACCATGGAATGTTCCCTTCCCCAAAACCCTCCGCCTTGCTGCCCTAGAGCGTCCTGGAGGCTGAGTATCCTTGAGGGAAAAGAGGTTTCTCTCTACCTGGGTAGCTGCGGGAAACTGCACCTGCAAGCAGGAAGCATCAGACCCCGGTGGGGGGGGGCAGCCTACACTCCTGGCGCATGGCGTCGCTCCTAGGCCCACCTGGCATCACAGCGCTGAGACCTGTGGCTCCTGGTGTCTTGCAGCCTGAGAAGCCGCTGCAGGCAGGTCTGTCCATGCTGGGCTGGGGCGGAGGTGGCAGGGCTGGATGGCCAGGCCAGCATTGGGATCGCTTTATCCTTATGAGGACTCTGAGACTCCTTGTGTTTGGGGGCTGGCACTGTGAGTCCCGATTACTCAGTACAATGGTGTGCGAGCCAGGCACTATGCAGCTGCTGCTTGGATTAACTTATTTTTATACGGGTGCCATTGCTGCACTGTGGCCTGGGTGTGTCCAGGCTGCCGTTCTCGTCCTAGTGTCTCGCCCACCCTGTGTTTCCACAAGGACTGCCATTCCAGGCTCAGGCATCTCAGCCATCTTGGTGCCTCTCAGGCGGGGCCCACATGGTGGCGAGGGCCTTGCAGGGGCTTGGGAGGACTGCTCATCCCCAGGATCTGGGTCCATAGGTCCACAGATGTGGACGTCCATCCTATGGCCATAGCTACGCAGCCATGAGTAATAACCAGGAGAGGGGTGGGGAGACTGTCATCTTGCCTTGACACCAAAGTTGCCTATAGGTGCATTTGAAAGTTTGTGTGTAGCTTCTAAAATGAGACTGCCTCTCCTGAGGATGTGATCCACATGCTTCTTGATGGCCAAAGTTTCTGCAGCTTCGCTGCTTGGGTTTTCAATCTCAAGCAGAGCTGGGCACCACTGTTCCCTGTCTATGGATGTGCCCTTGAATTACACACAAGGGTATTTAATGACTTGCTTATTTCTGCAGTGCTGGGATGACCTCAGGGCTCCATGCAGGCTGAGGGAAAGTGCTTGCCCTGAGTCAGGCCCCAGCCCTCTGATGCCTCGGAAGTTAGAGTTGTAATCCTGTCATTGACACAGTAAAGTCCCTGTGTACTTGAGGTTCTGTTTCATGTCTCCAGCTGACTTTAGAGTGAGCTATGAACATGTGCAACTGCAGTGTGAAAGGTCAGGGTCACCCCCTGCAAAGGTGGGAGGCGGCACTGATTCCAGTCCCCCTTCTGCTGTGGTCCAGGCTGCCTCAGAGTGGAACTCCATAGCCTGTCTGGAAACCATGTCAGGTAACAGGAACCCATTTCTCTAGGCCAGCAGCCAGTGGAAAAACCGGGGCCTGACAGGCAAGTGTGTGATAGATGCCCACCAGCCTGAGGGTTGCTCTGGGAGCCCTTGAGGGACTGGCCCCTTCGCCTCCTGCCGTGGTTGCTGCTGGGGGGCCAGCACCCCACCTGTACCAGCTACTTCCTGCCCAGGAGCCCACTGGGGAAATTACTGCAACTGCGGATCACCTCAGATTCCCTGGCCCTTGGGACTGTGGTGGAATATGGGACATTGTTAATTTCATCTTTCCTATTAAAACTGGAGGCATGTACAGACTGCACAAACTTGCTGGCCTATTTATGCCAGCAAAATATATCCTTTTAGTTAAAAACACTTTATACACATAAAGTGGTTTTCATGGTGCTTTTGCAGAGTCTGGATTTCCCAGCCCCGCAGCAGTGGTTAACGCAGCTCGCTGGGCAGCAGGGGCAGGCCTGGGGAGTCCTGAGGAGACCAGGCCCCCAGCCTGCATTCTTTCTGTGAATGCTGGGGGTGCTCAGAACACGGGCTCCTCCCAACAGAGTTCTGTGGAGTCACCTAAGACTGTGATGATAAAGTGTGTAACTGTTCATTTCTTTTTTCCACAGCCCAAAGAGCAGCAAGACTCACAGAGGCACAACGTCATCCATGGATGCACAGGCACTGAGGAAGAGGCTTGGCCGGGCCAGTAGCGAGGCAGCCCGCATCCTCCTGGACAGCCTCCTGCTCTATGTCCTGAACCACACCAAAGGGCCCCTGAAGGCCATGGACGGGATGCACAAGGCCAGCCACTCAGCCTTGCTCCTAGAGGCCAGCCGGTGGCCCACACGCTTCCAGCTTCTGCAGGCCAAGTTCATGGGCAGGGGAAGGGAACCCCCACTGAAGAGGACCCGGGAGGTGGGCCGGCTGATCTCCAAGGACAGGCAGGGGCCTGGCAGAAGCTTCGTGAATGCCACCATCAGCCAGCTGCTGGAAAAGGCCCAGGGGAACACCAGCAGCCCCAGCCAGAAGCCGGCGGCCCGAGAGAAACCCCGCTGGGGCCCCGGGGGGAAGAGCACTGTGAAGAACATCTTGAAGAAGTTCCTGGCTGTGGAGGAGAAGGAGGCCAAGGAACAGCCTCCCAACCCGAGGCCTGGGGCTGCCAGGGGGCCCCTGCCAAAGGTGGCCGGGAGAAGCACCATCCTGACCAAACTTCGAGAGAGATTTGAGCAGAGTGGCTGCCTCCATGCAGAGGCCAGGGTGCTGCCACTGCACAAGGAGGATCGTAGGAGCCGGGCCCTACAGAGGAGGACACACCGGCCAGAGGTCCGAATGCTCCACACGGCCACCATGGCTACCAGCTGCACTAGGACGCCCCCAGCCCGCTTTCTGGCCTGCACAGCTGAACCCCTGCCGGCCCTCAGCATCGCCACTGTGGTGAGCGGCCCCCGCAGCTGGCTGTCCCGCTGCGCCAAGATCAGTCACTTGGATGCCAGGCGTCAGGCCAAGTCAGAGGCCAGTCTGTCCCATAGTGCGGGGCACACAGAACCTGGTAGGAATGAAACCCCAGGAATGGAGCTCCTAAGTGAGGGTTCCAGGGCACAGTGGGAGCCCTCAAAGTCCTCTATGCCCCAGGCCATGGCTCCTAGGGCCTCCCAAGTGGCTCTGAGCACACCAAGTGCCCCCCAGCCAGAATTCACTTGTGTTTCCCCCAAAGACAGAGCCCTTCCCAGCCACCCACCCTCTGCGGCCCTGCTCAGTTCAGCCAGCCCTAGGGATGCTGGGCCAGCTTCAGGGGACAGGATAGTGGAACCAGAGGCTGAAGGGGCTACAGACCAAATCTGGGGGGTAGAAGAAAGCACAGGGGAGGGCCCCCAAGTCACCATGACCATGTACAGCTCTGAGGATGAGTCAGAAAGTGTTCTTCCAGTCTTTGAGAAGGAGTTCCTCTTTGCCACCCAGAGGTGGCTGCCCAAGCTCCAGCAGGAGCCTGAGGCCTGTGTCCCCTCAGCTCCTCCAGCCGTTCGGGTGGTGCAGTGCACACAGCCTGGCATGGCATCGCCACAGATAACTGTGCAGCTTCCTGTTGTCCTGGAAATGCCAGCCCCACCTGTGCCCCAGCCCAGCACACTGAGCCATGAGGCCTGCTGTCCTCTGGTGTCACAAGAAGAGGCTGTGGTGGACAGGGTGGCCCCTGGCCCTGTGGCAGGGGACAGGAGGGATGCCCCAGCCCTGGTAAGGCTGAGCAGGACAAGCCAGGTGCCAGAGAGCACCCTGTCTTCAAAGTCGGGACCACAGGGATTCCTGAGAGATACTGCTGGCATGGACCCCACTGTCCCACAGACAGTCCTGATGCTGAAGCCCCCAAGTTCTCCTGCTGGAAAGGGGAACCCCTGCAGCTGTCTTGGGCCTTCAAGACCCACCATCTCTAAGTATGGTGGTGAGACACATCTGTTGCCAGAATCCAATGAAGCATGGATGCCTAGTAAAGCCCGCTCGTGCCATCATCCCCCAGCACGGGAAAGCGGTCCAGCAGGGAGCTCCCACCCTGCCCCTGCCCCTGCCCCTGCCCCTGCCCACCTGCCAGGGTTGGGTCCCCAGGAGGGAAGATCCTTGCTGGCAGCACTCCAGGATCACAGCCAGCCTAAGAATTGCCCCTTCATGGACCAGAGAACCCACTGTGGGCAAGAAGAGCATCCCAGGCGCCCTACTGAGCTGGCTTCCCCTCCAGGGATGACCCCGGGAAATACCAGCCATGACTCAGACAAGAACGAATCGTCCTTCCTGGGTGACCAGCCCGAGACAGGCATCCTGGCCTCCAGGGAGACATCAGCTGTAGGGACTGTCCGGGAGGACACAGTGCCACTGGCAGGCACCCAGAAAGCACCACGGGTGGCTACCCCAATGGCACCACAGGCCAGTGCCCCGGCCCCAAGAAACAAAACAGCAGAGCTGACCACTTTGGATGAGGAAGGAAGCAGAGCGCCACCAGCATGCCCCTGTGCCACCGTGGGAGAGGGTCTCTCCCAGGCGCTGGCACCAAGTGGGCCCTCAATGCACAGGGTAGGAGCTGCAGCAGGGGAGACTCTGGACCCAGTCCAGCACCAGGCCTCCACGTGGGTCCCCCCTGTCGTGCACCCAGAGGACACAGCTCACCCCCATCAGGCACTCACAGCACCCAGCCTGTGTGCTCCAAACAATTCAGGAGCCAGTAATCCTAGGGCATCCACAGGGGACAAGGACATCCATGCCACAGAACAGGACACTCTGCACCATGGTGTGACTTCCCAGAAACTGGCCACCAGGCACTCCCAGGAGTCTCCACGCTGGCCCTGCACAGAGCCTCCATCTGGCACAGTGCGTTCCTCTATACATGCCACAGGCCCAGCTCCCACAGGGGAAGCCTGGCTCACCCAGCCAGCCCCAGAGCACCCTGCCCCTGACCAGCAGGCAGAGCCCAGGGCTGTGCCCCAGGCAAAGCGCTCAGGTCCCACCCCAGCCAGTCTGGGGCCACCAGAGGGTCACCATGGACCTGTGTGCTCACAGCAGGCAGGACAGAGTGATGATCCTCAAACGATGGCCATGCCTTTGGGGGGCCAAGGGGTTAGGGAATTCGAGCTAAAGCCTTGGGCAGCTAAGAAGCTGGCAGGGAGTGAGAAGCCAGCAACCAGGGAGGAGCCAGGCCCTGTTGGGACCCAGGTCGAGGAGCATCCGCCAGGGCCCAGGATCAGGCAGGTGGGCAGCCTGGCCTGGGGAAATGGCACACGGACTGCAGAAAGTCCTGTTACACAGGACAGAGGCCAGGCCAGGGGGCCAGCACCCCAGGCCAGCGTCCAGCCTAGCAGCACAGCCAAGGGAGCATCCACTGCCAACAGGGAACCCTCAGTGCCAGCCCCCAGCACTGGCACCCAAGGCAACCCAGGCATTGGGCGCCCCTCCCGAGGAGATGAGAGTGCAGTGACCTGTCCCCCAGAGCCAATGCACAGCCCTACCCTGCTTACACCAGACCTGAGGAGCCACCAGGACCCCCAACCCCAGCCTGAAACAGGGGCAGAGAGGGACTGGCCAGATTTCCAGCGGCAGCGGAGACTGGCGCACTTCACCAAGTACAAAGCCCAGAGCTTCAGTGACCAGAAAGCCTTCGACCTGTCCTTCAGACCCATGATCCTCAGGGCGAGTGACACTTTCGAGGCCCCAAAGTGAGAGCCCAGCTGGGACCCCAGCACCTCAGCGCCTCAGAGTGGAGCAGGTGATCCCTACTTCCAGGTGCTCCCTGAAGAGATGTCCACGCCCATCTCCTGTCCTCCCTCTCTACCTCCTCCTGCCTGGCTCAGCCTCAAGCTGACCTGGAGAGTGCAGCTTCCTCCAGCCCCATGTTCTCTTCTCAGGATGTGGAAGATGCCTGGTCAGGTCTGCTGGCTGTCCGTGGCCCTGTGCCTCCAGGGGCCTCATGTTTGATCTGTGTTGTCCCCAGGAGGGTGCAGCTCCACACACAGCCATCTCCTGTGTCCTCCTTGTGTTCTGGGGCCTTGCTCCTGCCTCTGCCCACTCTGTGTACCCCAAACCACAGGTATGTCTGGGCAGGGAGTCAGAGGCTACAACAGGACCCTGGGGCCTCGGTCAAGACCTGCTGGCCCCCACCACAGACCATGGGAGTCACCCCACAAGGAACAGAAGTTGCCACCATGGTGTCTGCCCAACCCCAGCCACAGCTGCTCAAAGGGCAGCAGGCAGGAGCGCGCCCTTGCCAGACAGTGGTCACAGAGCCCTGCCAGCCAAGGCCACTGCCCCTGGTGCTCCCAACCCAGCTGCTGCCTGAGTCATGTGCAGATCCAGCCGTTTCCAGGTACCTGGAGTATTTCTCTTAGGGGTCACTGGTCACCACATGACCCCCTGATGGGGCCTGCAGCAGAGCTCCGGATCCACCCCTGCGGATCAGTTACTGCTTTGCAAAGACCTAGTTTGCAACTAAGCAGCCCTTCTTTCTGTCTTTTTTCCAGTACTAGGAATGGAACCAGGATCTTTGTGTTGAGCTGCATTTCCAACCTTTTACAAATTTTTTATTTGAGACAGAATCTTACTAAGTCATCACATATCCCAAATTGGGCTGGAACTTGCCATCTCCCTGCCTCAGCCTCCCAGAGTACTGGAATTACAGGTCTATGCTACCACACTTGGCTGTAGCGGAGCAATTTCTTCAGACACAGCTTGTCATGGAGAACCTGCTGTACACTCAGTGCCCTCCCTGGTTTTCAGATCTGATATCCACCTGGAGAATTGCATTTTCGGGGCCTGCTCTGAAAAGGCATCTGGCAAGAGCGTCCCGCCCTAGGGAGGCTGTGTGGCCTGAGGAGACTCCAGGCCACATGAGTCTCTACCGGGATCCAAGGGCCACTGTCCAGGACAGAATCATGCATTTCCCTCTGTCCTCCCCTCTCCAGTCAATCCATTAACCTGGCTAACTGGAAATGTCTCACCCACAAAGACAGGCAGAGCTAGGGCCAGTGCCCGGCAGCAAGCCAGTGTGTGTTAGCTTGCTGGTCGCAGGCCTCACTCCTGCATCCACTGTCTGGCAGCCTAGCAGCACAGGTGCTGGGCATCCTGCTCCTTGGTGCCCAGGGCAGGCTGCATGGAGCTGTGTGGCCCTGGCCAAAATCACTCCTGGGTCCCTTGGAGGAGCCGGAGGCACCATGCACAGCCCTGCACCTGCTTTCTGTCTTCACACTTTGTTCAGCAAGGATGTGAGGCAATGACTCAGCCTGGAGGCCTGGAGAGCAGCCCCGCCCCCATGTCAGGATCCAGTGGCTCCCAGGACAGCCAGTGGGACCCCAAGACGCTGCCCGTCATGGCCAGAGCACCACAGGGCACTGCACCACTCCCTTTCAGGGAGAGCTGAGCACCCCTGAGGGCAGAGGCTCCTGTGGGACATACTGCCCTTGCAGCAGGGGCAGGGAGCACTCCTGGGTGGATATTAAATGAGACTTAAAAGTTAAACAGAAAAAGGGAAATCGTCTGCTCCAGCCTGACACCCGCCCTCCCACCAGCTGCAGGACTGGCTCCCTGGTGGAGGCTCCCTGCAGGGTGTAGCTCCCCCTGCCCTGTGCATCTGGGCGTGTGCAGGGCGCACAAGGAAGCGGCACCAAGGGCTCCATGATGATGTCGCATGAGGGTCTCTGTCAAACACTGTTCCTCCTAAAAATGCGTCCTGGGCAGTGTTCCTAGCCGAGCTGTGCTCATTGACTGTGTCACCCGCAGCTGTGCATCTGTCTTTATCAACAACTCTAGCATGGATTGGTCAGAAAAAAGTAACCACGTGGAGTTTTTGTATTTTCTCTTTTGAATTTTTACTAACTTTGCAACATTGGAAACACTTTCAAGGAAAAGGAAATAAAGTTCATTTCCCATTGCAGACCTCTGGGCACCTGTAAGAGCTACAGAAAGGAGGCAGGTGCCCCTGTTGGGAGCAGACACAGCCAGGCCTGGGCAAAGAGGGTCAGGTCAGCTCTTAGGGTGTGGGGGAGGCGCGGAGGAGGACCCCAGTGGGAGCACTGGGGAGGAGATTCGTGATGCTCTGGGTTCCTCCCTGGGTCTAGTTAGGAGTTGGCGTGGCTGCTCCGAGGAGTGGTCACTCTGAGGTGGGCTGTGGGCCTCGCTGGGCTCTGGGCTCTGAGAATGCCCAAGGCTCCAAAGCAGGCAAAGAGCAGCCCCTGAGCCAGTCCATCATGCAGCATGGCCATGTTTACCCTTCTGTCTGACTCCTGCTCTTCTCACCTAGGAGGACACCTGCCCAGGCAAGTGCTTCCTGAAGGACCGGCTCTGCCTGCTTTCCAGAAGGGTCAGGAGCAGGCGGGACACTCACTTTCCCCATTAGGCCATGCAGTACCAGAAAGCCAGATAAAACCTCAGGACAGAGTCTAAGTCCTCTGTTCATCTGAATTCTGACACTGTCTTTCCAGGAGGCTGTGGGCAGCAGTGCCCTGTGCATGTGCGGTGCTGGGTCGCTGGGCTGTGCTGGGTCACTGGGCAGCCCTTCAGGGACTCTCATGGGGCTGTAGCACCACAGCTAGGCAGAGGCGAGTGGGGCAGTGCCCTTGCTGTGCCTGACACCTGCTGGGACCAGTTGTCCCTTTGTGCAAACCAGCAGGGGGTGCTCTACCACTGAGCTCTCTCCTGGTCCTTCTTGTGTCTTACTTTGAAGCAGGGTCATGCTAAGTTGCCAGGCAACGTCTTTTTTTTTTTTTTTTTAAATATTTCTTTTTTATTTTAAAGGGAATAAAACAAGCAAAGAAAAAATAAAACAGAATAAAGCCAATCAAAACAAAACAATGAAAGCTATACAGAACTTCAAAACAAGGTAATAGGAAATCAACAATGACTACAACAATATATCTTGTCTTTGAAATATCTTCCCATGCCATCAGATATAACAAAGTTAAAAAAAGAGAGGCTAAAACCAAACCAAACAGTGAAAATGGTACAGAACTTTAAAACAAGATAATGGGAAATTAAAAATGCCTACTACCTTCAGAAGGAGATCCCTATAGTTGCTATATTGCATACTGTTATCCTCTAAATAGATGCTCAGACTGCAGGCATTAGGCCTGAGAAGTCAGTCAGACAGTGCAGGCTTTAAGTTCTGTTTTGCTTCAGCAGCTGTCATCTCAGTCTGCGCTCCTCTGAATCGGTCAGTCACTTATGGAGGGTGGGAGGGCTCAGCACTTCTTGTCCCCCAGCTAAGGTGCTGACTGGCTCTTAGGAAGGGGTTGGTTTCTTCCTGGTTCTCTTCTCATAGCTAGCACTGACTCACAGGAAGTGAGGGGCTTGGCTTGCAACCACTGCTGGCTTACAGGAAAGGGTGGCTCCTTCTTTGTTCTTTCCCAAGACCCATGGTGAGCAATGGCTCACTGGAAGGGGGTCTCCTGGGCAATATCTTGAACTTGTAATTCTCCTACCTCCGCCTTCTCAGTGCTGGGCCACAGGCATACACACCTGAGTCATGCAGCTTTCTGGTCATACATACTTGTCCACTACCTGCTCAGGTAACAAAAAACTAACTTGTAAGGGGAGGCCCTGCTTGTCACGTGACATAGTTATCCCTTCTTCCAAGACAAGGCCTCAGGGCCAACCTGTGAGTCCGTGGTGGGAGGGGTGTGGGATGTGCAGGACAGAAGACAGCCCAGGGTAACTAGAATGTGGCTGTGCACTGGAGTCACCCTGGGGCCTCTGTCTGCAGGGCGAGGTGGCACACATCGTGGTTTCAACATGCTGGGAGGCTGAGACAAGAGAATCACAAGTTCAAGCCCAGCTTGGGAAACTCTCGAGACCCTGTCTCAAAATAAAAATCTAAGAAAGGGCTGGGGATGTTCTCAATGCAAAGGCCCTTGGTTCAATTCCCACGTGGTACCAAAAGAAACAAGAGGCAAAGGCAAGGGGAGGAGGCTTCTGTCTCAGCCTGGAAGGGTGGACCGAGGCTCCAAAGCCAAGGAGCTTATGTTTCCAGGCAGCTCCAGTGGGCAGCCATGGGGGAAATACAGTTAAAAATGATTACTTTCAAGCCAGAAAATGAGTTCATGAAGGTGGAAGAGAAAGAAGAATATCTTATTGTTGCAGAAAAACCCTGGATTGAAAGGAAAACACTTCACGCTGAGGAGTTTGGAAGGCAGCTTGTCTATTAATGCCAATGGGCTGGAACTGAGTCAGACCAAATCACCACCCCAGGTCAGTTTAGAGTTCCGTTTAAATGTATTTAGCGAGCAGGAAGTACAAAGCTGATGACAGGTTATTACCTGATTAGATGGCAGGTTATTACCTGATTAGCTACGTGTATTAAGTCCTATGTTGTCAGGCAGATTTCTTTTAAGCAGTTTTACTTATAAGAATTGTTTATCGGGGCTGAGGATTTAGCTCAGTGGCATAAGCGCCTGCCTTGCAAGCAGGCAGTCATGAGTTCGATCCCCGGTACCGATAAAAAGTAAAAAGACCAAAAGAAAAAAAAAAAAAAAGAATTGTTTATCACAAGGCAGGAGCATCCTGGGAGAGAGGAAGGAGGGTATCAGGGGAGCAAAGAGAGTTAAATGCATCCTTGACTGGGCCAGTCTGTCCCAGACATGGAACCCTGGAAAAATGACATATGTTTCTAGGTAGGAAGGCACAGACATTACCGCAGGACACAGCCCAGTTGGCTTAGTGTGCTTCTGGGAGAAGCAGCTGGCTGCAGACAGTCAAGGCCGACTCAGCCTGACTATGATGGCAGGCGTGTGCAGCCACAGGCCCTGAATTAATGGTTAACTTCTAATATAAAATGTCTAGAAGGCAGCTGTTCTATAACCACCTTTAGATTATGACTGAGGAAGTGTCAGCGCTCCGAAAGGGCCATGAGAGGACAGGTGCTCTTCCTGCAGAGGTGAAGCCCTGTGTCTTCCCCAGGGGTCCGAGCTGCCTCTGGAGCAGAGCTCTGGGACCCCATGGGCTCCAGAGCCAGGCTCCCACCCCACTGCTCCATACCCAGCAAGCCCTTGAGGGTGCAGCTTCCCAGGGGTTTCCAGGCATCAAAGTGGTGAGGACATTTGCCCAACATGTCCCCTCTCAGCAGCAAGGAAGCTCAGAATGTGTCTCTCTGGACTAACTGGTAAGCACAGAGCTGCCGAAGTCTGTGCTCTGGGGTCTGAATGCCCTCCTGCTGCTCCAACTCTAGCTTCCAGTAGGCATTTTACAATGAACCTGCTAAAAGCTGCTTCCCAACTGAGACTATCAGTGTTCAGCTGGTGCATGTAAAACCCTTTCTGCTCAGCAGGGGCACTGTGCACCTGTCTTCCTGGCCCTGGATTGCTGGCTGTCCAGGCTGTCAGGGGATCTCCACAGGGGCAAAGATCTCCCCAGACCTGCAGGTCACAAGGATGCAGGGAACTTCAAAGGGAAACAGCCAGAAACAGGACAGACTTGTTCTTTCTGGGCCAGTAGCCCGCTGGAGACAGCTTGTCCTTTTGGAATCTGGGTCCCTGAGGCCCGAGCCCAGGATATGGTGGCAAGTGGTGCAGCAAGGCGGGTGCAAGGGCGGCACTAAGGTGAGGCCGTCCCTTCTCAGAGAACACCTACCTTCCTTTCAGAAAGAGGGCTCCGTCTGCCCTGAGGGTGACTCTGCACACAGCCTTCATTACTCTTTCTGTCCCTGCAGTTTTGTCATAGGTAACTAAGTGAGATAGAAATATTGTAGGCAGTCGGACAGGGCTGGGCCTTCCAAGGATCCAGTTGCAGAAGACCAGGTACCTTGCAACTGTAGAGGAGACAGATACCTCTGCTTCTGGCCAGACCTCAAGACCAAGGATAGAACAAATGCACCCACATTCTTCCTAAGGGTAAACATCAGGGATTGATATGCTAACTATGTTCGGTCACCTTGAGGAAGCCAGCAAGAGCCACTAACCCACTAATTTTCCCTGAAGGAAGAGCTCAGAGCTCACGCCTGCTTGCTATCATTTGATCTCTGTTTATGTTAGGTCTCTGAACTAGACTCCGCCCAACTAAGAGAGAAAAGCTCCCCAAACAGATCTGTTATTCGCACCTAGTCGGGGCATAGTAACATTCAACAGGAAGCTGGCAGCTGCCCTGCACAAACTCAACCTCAAAGAGCTGGTTCCATGAAAAACCGCAAGAGACATGCTGTGCCCGCCAGCACCCGCTGTACCCAACCCTACCACCCAGTCTTAGCCCCTCTACTCAGAGACCCAAAACTGTGCAATCCCCAAGCAATACCTCCCTCCCCTACCTATAAAATATAAAAAATGTACTCCCCTATAAAAATATACCTTCACCCCTTGCTTGGGCCAATGGTCATTTCGCCCTTGGCCTGACCGCACCCAGTCAGCAATAAAGTCTTCACACATTGCTTCAACTTTGCCTGCCTCAGTGGTCTCAGGTGCACCTCAGTTTAGCCTAACACCTTAGTTAATTTACCTGAGCTTTCCAGGGGGATTTCCATTCCCGTCCCTCCCTGTCCTGACACTTTGTCCCGGACCTTGTTATGGCTGTAAAACCACATCATGTTTTGTAGCAATCTTCTTAAAAGATAGCCATGGTAACTGCAGTTTCTCCTCCTTCAAGATATAAGCTTTCTGCAACACCTGTAGCGGAATTCCCCATGTCCAGACCCAGGTGAACTGAAGGAAGAAGGCAAAGAAGCTGCAGTCTGATTTTATGAGTGGCCCTTCGTGGATCCTGGGCCACGTGAGCCAAGCTGGTGGGCCGGATGCACCTGTTCCCTGAACCTGCTTTTCCTCTTCATGGCTGTCTTTGACGAGTCTGAAGAAGCCGTCCAGCCTCCACAGCAAGCGGGGCATGGGGCCTCCCGGTGCAGGACGGACTCCTGGGTGTAGAGGCCCTGTCACCAGAGGCACTGCCTGGCCTTTCGCCCCTTAGTAAACGGCTGTTGTGCTGCCGCGGGGCTCCTAGCTAAAGCAGGGCTGTCCAGTGTAGTATCTCCGAGTCCTCGGGGAGAAGTGTGTAGACACGGGGACTGCTGCTGAGCCCAGGTGGGCCCCACCCAGGTGAGCCGGCCCAGGCCCAGAGGAGGCAGTGAGTCCACAGCAGCGCTCCCCAAGCACCACTGGGTGAAGGCCCGAGCAGGTGACAGAAGAGCTCGAAGCTCTCCAGACCCTCCCTGGAGACTCACAGGCAGGCTAAGCTTCTCAACTCCAGTTTTTTCCTAGCTAGAGTATTTTTAGAGCCACTTCCAGACTCCATAGTCTTCTCAAGTTAAATAAAAAACAAATCTGTGAACAAAAGTCAAAAATAAAAACCAAAAAAGTCTGCCACATGCACAGAAGTAGAGACTGAAGGTGGTGGGCTGTGTTCGCCCTGAGAAAGACAAAGCCTAATATTAGTTTTTACTTCAAAAGATGCAACACAATTTATTTTCAGGGGACATCTTACTTTTTAATGTATGATAATCTACATGTATTCAAATAGTCCTGTCATCTTTTTCTGGAACACCAGAACTCACCAAACCCCGAATTCCAGCCTGAATTTCTGGTGACTCCATTTTCTGTAGATCCACTGGCTCCAATCTCTCAAGTCCCACCACAGAGCTCCCTTACAGGAGCACTTCCTGCCCGTGTAGTCGGCACACAGCACACTGACAATGCGGTGGCAGTGATTTTGTCCCATAGCTTCTGCAGCCAGGTCACGATTTTGTGCAGGCAGGCTTCACAAAGTTCCATGAGATCAAGTGCTAACTTGAGACATGCAGGACAGAAGTGCCAGCCAAATGATGACACTTAACAATGATGGCCACACAAGATGATGGAAAACAGGCAGCAAAATTCAGAGAACATCCCTGTGTTTCACATGCATGCACTATATATTGTTACAACACAGGGTGCTGAGCCATGAAGATTCGCTCTAGACCCAGCTGGACCTGCTCACTGCCACTCATGGTCGTGTCTGTCCTCTGGTCATTTGACAGTGAGTTTCAGGTTCATCTATTTACACAGGTGTTTACCTCTCATCCAAAGGCACCTGCTTGGCTATTTATAAATACAGAACTTAATTATGTCAGATCATCATTTATTTAAATATTACTGTCAATACTATTATTTATATTTAATTCTATATTAATGTCATTCTTTTCTAATTTAATATGTCTGTCATATGCTCAGCAAATGTGCTAACATGCCTCCATCTGGAACTTAACTAGGACTTACTCAGGGGTGGGCTTACATTACAAGCACCCTAAAATCATGCTAGGGCTTATTTTTCAGTTAGGTCTTATTCTCAAGGAAGGGATGGTAGAGATGGATGAGAACCCCACCACCAGGAGTGCCAGCTAAGGGGGACGGAGAGTAGTCATTTTGTCCAGAGCAGACGCTGAGGCAGGGAAGGCCAGGCACGCAGGGGAGGAGAGGGACCTTGGCCAGGTGAGAAAGGTCAAGTATCTTGCCCCAGGCTCTGCGGGCACAGGTGCTGGCTCTATGAAGCAAAAGGCACAGGGACCAGTAGGTACCACCAGTCTTGCCCAAGTGCGTAACACTGTCCTGGGTGGGGCCGTGGGCAGTGAGCCCTGCTCTGGATGCCAAGAGGGGGCTTTTTTTTCTTCTTTTTAATTTTGAAGTTAGTAAGATACAACAGAACAAAGCCAGTCGAGACAATGCAATGAAATTGGTACAGAACTTCAGTGCGGGATACCGGGATAACAGTAATCGGTACCATAGTATATCTCGTTATCTTCACAATAATTGTCTATTCAATCAGGTATGATGAAATTAAACCAAGAACAACATTATAAAACCAATCAAGAAAGAATTAATTAACAATTAATCAGAACAAAGCAAAACTGTGAAAACAACCTTTGCCTTCAAACAGAAGATAGAAGGAAATCCCACGTATTTGCACCGTGTTTTTTTCGTTTTTATTGGTACCAGGGATCGAACTCACGACTGCCTGCTTGCAAGGCAGGCGCTTATGACTGCTGAGCTAAATCCCCAGCCCCCACCATGTCTTTCTTTATTCACCCTATTCTCCAGCCTGCAGGGCTTGGGCCAAGTCCAACAGCATCAGTTTCCATTCATGGTAATGACAATGCACACTTCCCATCCCTAAGTCTCTGTGGCTGGTGGGGGTCAAAAGTGCCTCTGGGCCTATCTGGCCCCTGTTGTCATGTTTTTGAAGCCCCTCTAACCTCTAATCTTCAACAGCAGTGGCCTCCCTATCTGACTCCAGCCACTGATGGAAACCAATTAGGTTTTCGTGGTTGCACAGCTCTGGAGGTTGTGCACATTGGAAGTCTAGGGACTGGCAGCTGGGCTAGCATTGGTCAGCAATGTGGAATCCCAGGCCATGGCAAGCCCTGTGGACCCTGTAGTGATCTGCAGCCCTCTGGGTGTGAGGTATGGCTCTGCAGTACCCCCAGGAGTTGGTAGCAAGTGTGCAGCCCAGCTGAGAGTCCAGTGGCCAGGAGCCCCAGGGCAGGCTCTGTCCTTCGAGGGACAGCAGGAGCCTATGGTATATGGCTGACCGCCTCAGTGGCTAGATTGATGACAGACAGGCAGACCCAGCTGCTGCGGCTGTGATCCCTCCAACTAAGGTCCACTCATTCTTTCCAGGTCTTGCCTGTCATTGGGGCCTTGCCTGGACCTTCTCAGGGACAGCCAGGAGCCTACAGGTGACCGGCACTAGTCTGAGCCTGCACAAAGATGCCTGTTTTCCTGCTTACGCTCGAAACCCCTGGGGCCTGCAGGTGGCTGGGCTGGCTAAGTACTCCAGGGGGAGAGCACCACTGCCCTGGACAACACTGCAGAAAATACTGCAGAAAGGGGCCAGATGCCAGGGCCCTTGGCTTAAAGAGGCAACAGGAAAGAGGCTGGTCTAGGACATGGCCCACCATGCTTCATCCTGGGGTACAGGGATGGACCTGGAGGGAAAGGGCAGAGCTGTGCCCTCATTCCTAGAGGACATCTTTACCCCTCCCTCCACTCTTCCTGGAGGGCAACTCTCTGTTCCACAGGACCACAGGGCCCTTATGTGGGCGCTAACCCTGAGAAACAGGATGCCCTCCACACTCAGGTGCAAACATGCAGGGCCAGTGCCTATGCTTTCTGGCTGCTCTACAAGGCTGCAAGGCTGAGGTGGGATCTGAAGGCTCCTCACAAAGGGGCCTTAAGGGCACCTGGCCAGGAGTGGGCTCTGCCAGGCAGGAAGGCCCGGCTGGGCACTGCAATTGGCAGAAGAGCAGGCCACAGGACAGGACACAGGAGCTGGTAACAGTGCTGTCAGGCCCTGGGGGCAAAAGACTTCTCTCTCTTTTTCCTCTGGGGCTTGAGGAGAAAGGAGAGAGCAATCAAGCATGAGGTCAAGACCAGACAAAGGCCACCCATCAGCACCCGGCAGCCGGGTCCAGGCAAGGCCACCCAGGAGGGTCCCAGGGCACAGGCAGGTTGCAGTGCAAGAGAAGAAGGGACACTGTCTTTCAAAAGCAAAGGGCTGCCAGGTGGGCCAGCCATGTTGAGTCTTCAGAGCCAGCATCTGGACCCTGGGGACCAGTGTCTCAGCTGCCTGCCGTCTCCTGGGTGTGGGGAAAGCTGGAAATGCACAGCAGTCCCCAAGGGCAGGTCCAGTTCCACACACGGCTCTCCAGCTCCTGTTGGCCTCAGCGTTCGTTCCAGAACATTCCCTCCACTCAGGTCGTCTGCTAAGGCCCAAGACCTCACGCCCACCTGGTCACAGAGGGAGCTCCTATGTGCGCTGCCTTTGGGGAAAGTGGGAGAGCCAGGCCTTCCTCATGCCTGCTGTGCTCACTTCCCACCATTCTGAGGTTGCAGGAGGCTGCCCTGCTGGGAATGGCACCCATGGTGGCTCTCATGCCAAGTGTCCACGTCTCAGGACACCAAGTGGACAGGGATGAGGGATTCAAAGCATGGAGCTGCAGCCCATATGAGTGTGAGGGGAAGAAGCCAGAGGCAGGGCCATGCCAGTGGGTAGCAATTAGGGCACATAGGTACCTCAGGGTGAGATCCAGGGATGGACTAGGGCAGAGGGACCCAGGAACAGGAGACCCAGAATGTGGATAACCAGGGCGCTGGTGGGGAACCCAGGCGGGGAGGGGGTCCAGGGTAGGGACACCAAGGATGGGGAGACCGGGGGTAGGGTAACCAGGGCAGGGGACCCATGGCAGGTGGTCTCAGTGCAGGGAGACCCAGGATGGGGAGTGCCAGAGCATGGGTGCCCAGGGGAATCCAGGCTGGGGAGGGGCCCCAGGGCAGGAAGACCCAGGATCTAGAGACCTAGAATGGGGAGATTCAAGGAAGGGAGACCCAGAGTGGGGAGGTGGGCCCGGGGATGGACTCCAGGGTGGGAGTGGACTCCGCCCTACGGATTCCTGGCCAAGGCTTCCCTGGTGTGGACAAGCAGCAACCAGAAGGTTATCCTCGGTGGATCTCAGGTTGGGCGTGTTCTCAGCCCTGGAGTTGGGGGAGCAGGTGGAAAGATTTGCAGCTTTTCTGGGTAAGAAAGGAGAAGCCAAGGTCTGTAGCCTGGTGCCGGGAATCTAGGGCTGGACAGTTGCCCTGCAATCTCTTTCCGGACAGAGTAGGGCACCGCCCCCTTGTTGCCCCGCCCCACAGGGCTCTGCTCCGCCCCCGCCAGTTCATTGCCCCGCCCCATGCCGCTCCCAGCCCCGCCTCTTGGCCAGATGCCCCGCCCTCCCCTCACCTTCGGTCCCCTGGCCTCACTTTCGCGCTACTCCCCGCCCCTCAGCGTACCTAGTCCCTCCCCTCCCCTGACTCCTACCTCTCATGGCTCCGCCCAGAACTATACGCCCCGCCTTGCCCCGCCGGAAGCTCCTGCACCCATGCCAGTTGTGCACGGGGTCGCAGCCCCGCTTAGTCCTCCACATGCAGCCGGCCGAGAGCTCGCCGGTGGTGCCGGCCCATGGGCCCAGGTGGGTGGGAGCCGCGGGACAGGGGCGCACGGGGGCGGGGCGGGGTGCACGGAGGAGAAAGAGGAGGAGGGGCTCGCCCGCGGAGCCCCTCGACAGCCGCAGTCCGCGTCTTGCAGGGTCGACCCATATGGGTTCGAGAGGCCCGAAGACTTCGACTATGCCGCCTACGACGAGTTCCTCTCCGCCTACTTGGCAGTGCTCACCAGGAGGGCCCTGAAGTGGTCCCGGCTGCTGCAAAGGGACGGCGGTCTGAGCAGGACCGCGACGGGTGAGTGAAGTGGCCCACGCCCGCCCCGGAACCCAGCACCCCTGGGATTCGACCCCCACCTCGGGCACCAGACGTCCATACCCCAGGCATCCCAGCAGCTCCTTGAGCGGCACGACCTCGACCCTGCGACCTCTGGGCAGCCTGAGCCCCCCTTGTCCAGAGCCACGAGGTGAAGGGCCACCCTTGGCCTTTGGGCGGCGCCTAGGGCGGAGCCTCAGGGACCTACCCAGCCGCCCCATCGAGCCCGCTTCAAAGGGTGGGCAAAGTCCAGTCTGCTTTCGGAGCAACAGCTGAGCACGCGGGACACTCCCGGTGGGGGTGGGTGAGGATAGTCCCTACAGACTGGGCTACACTGGGGCTGGGACAGAGGGGCTCCCACCTTCGAAATGGGGTGGGGCGGGCGGGGCTCCTGCCCTTAGAAACTGAAGCAGCCCTCTCCGAGCTCAGTCCCCCAAGGCCAGCTTCTGAGTCGCGCAGCCCTACTTAGTTTCAGTCTGACCTTTTTGGGAATGGAACCCAAGCGCCCTCCCTGTCCGTGTGACCTTCGCTTCTTTACCATTGAGCCCTACAGCCCCCGACTAGGACTTATGTGCTCCGTAAAGAAGCAGACAGGTGTGGACCCTGGGCAGCGTCACCAGCTAAGCCCTGGTTGAAGGTGGGGTGCAGTGTGCCCACAGTGGCTAATGGAAAGAGGGAAAGTTACTGGTGGCTCCCAGAACAGAGCTGGCCACCCAGATAGGACTAGTGTGTGTGGGGGAGGGAGGGAGGGTTGTCAGGATGAGCTGCAGGAAGGACTCCTGAACCCCATACACAGTAGATGTAGTGGGTGCTGGGGAAACCTCATGGGATCAGTGGAGGGGGGACATTTCTGTGCAACTTGCTGTGTACTGGGAGGGGTGGCCCGTGGGCCTCCCCCTTGGCCAGTCTGCGGCTGCTGCTGGGGGTGGAAGGGGACCCTGGGCTATGCTTAGCACTTCTATGCGGCTTCAAGTAGGTTGGCAGAGTTGGAAGGGAAAGGACTGTGAAGCAAACGTGCTGCTGGACACCCATCCCTGCTGCCCTGGGTGCTGATGTCTCCAGCAGGCATATATCTCTATTTTTGTGGGACTTACTCTTGAAATTTGACCGGCCTTCTAACTTTGGAGTTATGTGAAGTGTTATTTATGCATGTGGTGAACACTGTAATCGCACTAAAGGATGCAGAGTGGTTTCTTTCTAGCCCTGGGCCCCAGCCTCCTATAGAGATCCCGTGCACATGCATGCTCACACACGCTCACAAGCACAGACATCTGTATAGCAGGCAACCTTCAGACAGGAGGTATTACTGGCTGTGACCATGTGTCCTAGTTACTGTTCTTGTTGCTAAAACAAAATACTCGATGCCTAAAGTAAAGGGAGAAGAGGTTGATTTGGCTCACAGTTAGCAGAGGTTTTGGTTCATAGTCAGCTAACTCCAAAGCAGGGTGGCATAGCAGACAGGCTTCACAGAGGAGAAACAGTTCATGGCAGGCAGAAGCCAGCTAAACAGGCAAGGATCCTCAGCAGCCTCTTTCTCCCCCTTTTATAGTCTCTCTAGGTTACTGGGGTTAGGGCAGTTCCACACCAGTCAGTGGGTTGATGTAGTAATCATGCACTCTTAATCCCAGATCATACACTCTAGATCCAGCCACTGCTGAAATAGCCCCACCTGTGACCATAGAAGGCTTTGGGGGGACATCTAGACATGGCCATAGCCCTGTGATTGACACCAGACCTGGCCAAGAGGTCAGCTGGATCAGAGACCCTGAAGGAGATGTGCTTGTGCACAGATCTGTCCTTACATAAAATACACGGATGTTCTCCTGTCTGGTTTTGTTGCTTTGGGTCCTTTTCTCTGAATGGAGTAGTTTGCACCTCCTTCCTAATAAGAGTCCACATTCGGGGAGTGGCATGGTTTGCATCTCCCCATGTAGAGGTGGGGCTCAGGAGAGCAGGAATCAAAGGCATTCTGGAAGCAACCCCAATGCAGATTCCTTTGCAGTTATTTTATACCCAGTTAGCAGTTTTTGTTTTGTTTTACTTTGCCTTTTTCTCCGAGAACTTATCCCAACTTTTCTAAAAATTTAACTTGGTGGGTAGCAACCTTTTTGTTGACGTACTTTGATGATGGGATTGTTGATCAGGCTGTCACAGTGGTAACAATTTCAGTTGGAGTGGACTGGTGTGGGGGTGATTGCCTCTGATCCCTAGTGAGACTCAGTTTGAGGGCTGGTAGCTGCAGGGTCAGGGTAACAAGTGTTAGCTCACTATTCCTGCAGGAAGTGGAGACCCTGGTTGGTCTAATAGGAAGAGTAGGGGCCTGCGACCCTAGTGACCCCACTGGTTTGGACATGGTTTCCAAGTGGGATGGTCAGGAGGCCCCCTGAACTGACGTAGGTGGATTATCAGATCCAAGACAGGAGTAGACCATTTATTCCACTCGGAAATAGGAATCCGGTCCCCTGGGAAAGATAGCCTGCCCAGGAAGGTGGCAGGATGCGGATGCAGCTGAAAGCGGGTTGAGGCCGGCATCCTCTGCGCTCCACTCAGACCCTGACTTCAGCCTTATCTAGCTCTTCAAGTGCTGCAGGGTGTCATCTTTCTTTTTCTGGAGAGTTTTCGCCTCTCTCAATGTCTCCAGCAGCACAGTCATCTCTAGGTCCAGGTGTTTGGTGTCTTTGCCATGTCATCCTGCGCTTGTGGGTACAGGGAACATAGCCCGCAGGAGCAGGGTCAGACAGCGTGTGCCTCCTGCAGCCGACACATTGGCCTGCTTCTCCGTTTCCTTCCCTGTCTGCCGCGGTGGGTCTGTTCATCAGTGGGCATGGAGGGCGTGGAGAGCCACCCTAACCATTCACTTGCCAGTTTTTGTAGCAATTTGGTGTGGTCTCTCTGAGGTAAACACTTTGCTCTCAGTGTTGGGTCCTGTCAGGTAGTTAGTAATACTGAGACCTCATTGCCTCACATGCTTGAGGAAGGCCTGGGGATCAGCCCATCACCTCCAAACAGAAACAGAGCCTTGCGCTAAAGTGACTGCACAAGTCTCTGCTCCCACCAAAAACGTGCACACACTAAGTGTGCGCTCCTGCTCTCATGCAGTTGGTATTTTTATTTCAGAGATTCTTTGACTATTCTGACTTCCTTGGATTTTCTGTGCAAGTTTATCAAAAAGCAGTTGATTTTTTGGGTAAGTCTACTTCTGCATCTTTTCCATGAAGCACTAGCTGGCAGGAACCCCCTTGTTGACCATTTCACCATTACCCAGTTTCTCTGACTGGAGGCTTGTAGTCAGTCTTAAAAATCAGATAATTTAGGGGCTGGGGATTTAGCTCAGCAGTATAAGTGCCTGCCTTTGCAAGCACGTGGTCATGAGTTTGATACCCAGTACGGATAAAAAAAAAATCAGATAATTTAACTGCAACATTTTCAAGACTGTTTTGATTTTGCTTTATGTGGAAAGTTTAGAATCTGTCTGTCATTTTCTGCAGTGTTTCCCTGGGTCACGGATGGGCGCTGGGCATGGTCCTGTGGATTGCTGTGAAGAGAATGGATCTCAATGCTGAGATGCCAGCATGGCTCTCAGTGAATTGGCTCTGCCCTTGAGTGGGTTTTGGGTCTCTTGAGCAGCGCTCAGCGTTTCAGTCCTGCAGATGTCTGGATTTACACCTTTCCTCCAGTGTTGCTGGGAGTGGTGCAGGTCTTGGCCTCTGTGAGTTAGCGTGCGGTGTCCGCATGTGTTAGACCTGACCATCCTCTGGCTGTTTCGCAGGAAAGGCCTTGCACCTCGTGTTTCTGGTCAGATGATTCTGGCCAGGTTGTCAACGGAGGGCTCGAGAGGCCTGCAGCCAGAGGCATGCAGACAGCCCTGGAAGGACGGATGTCTGAGCCACTAACACTAAGCTAGAGCCCTGAGGTCACACTGCAGAGCAGGTGTACTGAGGGTGCCAAAGCAGGTCCAGAGACATGGGCTCCCCAGTGTTTCTTTAGAGCTGCAGGGATGATTCATTCCTGGCCTGGGTGTGGCTGCTGGTGGGAAGTGCTGGAGTTTGTCCTTCCCTGCCCTGAGCTTTCCTGATGACCCACATAGGCTTCCCATGAGGGTCCTCAGGGTTCCTTTAGGGAGTGACAGGCCCTGGGGATGGTGGATTTAAGATGCCTGGGCCTTGGTCACAGTCCTGTGGGTTCTTGGCACTTGGGGTAGTGAGCTCAAGCTCACTAGTACTTTTCCTGACCAGGCTGTGTGTGGTTTTTCTTAAAATTTTTTGTCTGTTAAATACAACTCAGATTTTTATGTTTGTGTGTGTCAGCTCATGGAATTTGTGCCATTGATGGAATTTTTATTTCTTTTTCTTGTTGTTTGGCCACCTTTGAAGAGAAGTGGTTGAATTTGGCCCACAGTGTGTGGTCAGCTGACTCTGGCTTTGTGTCACCTGGGTGACACCCTCTTATCAGGGCCAGGAATCCCACAGAGAGGTTCAGGAGGGGCCTGGACCCACAGTCCCCTTGAGGGCAGGCCTGACCACCCTCCCTGTGCACCCCACCTGGTGGTGGGTCTTGAGAGCCAAATCTTTAGCCACAGGCTCCAGGGTCACTTAATGTCCAAGCTCCAAGCTTCCTACAGTGTGGTTTGTTTTAAGATGATGGTATTTGTGATGAAATCCCCAGAGCAAACAATGGCTAATGATACTCGCTTTGAAAATTAGCTGTTTTGGGCTGGGGATTTAGCTCAGTGGCATAAGTGCCTGCTTGGCAAGCATGAGGTTGTGAGTTCAATCCCCAGTACAAAAAAAAAAAAAAAGAAAGAAAGAAAGAAAGAAAGAAAATTAGCTGTTTTGCCTGCAATGGTCTTGAGGAGTGCGGGGTGTACCCGAGTGGCCCCCATGAGGGTGGTGTGTGGAGCCCCTGCCCAGGAGAGCACGCAGTGCACAGGGGATGGCAGATTTGAGGTTCAGCTTCTGGTCCCATCTGTTTCTGGGGGCATCAGAACATTGCTAACCCTCCCCCCCCCACAGTTGCAGGATGCAACCCTGGGACCCCTGCTTCAGAGTCCCTGCAGGTTCGCACTGCCTGCACCTCACCTCACCACCCACTGATCTGCTCCCTGGGACCCCATGCCGTCAGCTCCGACCCCTCTTCCACTGGAGCTCGGGCAGTTGGGCATGACAAGGGCCCCTCACTAGGGGGCCCTGGCTTTCGATCCCTTGGTGCGTGCAGGTGCCGTGGCAGGGACGAGTGTCTGCATGGAGGGCATCACAAAGTGTGGGTGCTGGTGTGGGCGAGGGGTTCAAAGCCTTGGCAGCTTTTGAGTTTTGTGCCAGGAAGACTGGTGCTCACAGGTGGTCGAGCTGAGGGTGGGCCTGTCACTTGGTTCCAGTGAAGCGCTACGTCCGAAAAGGGATCCCACTGGAGCACCGGGCCCATGTGTGGCTGGCCGTGAGTGGAGCACAGGCCCGGCTGGAGCAGAACCCTGGCTACTATCAGCGGCTGCTGCAGGGAGAAGGAAGGCCTGAGCTGGAGGAAGCCATCAGGACAGGTGGGCATGCGGCAGACCAGGCATGCGAAGGGCGACAGCCACAGGGTCCGGGAGGGAGCAAGTCGGGGTGCGTGCCTGTCATCCCTGCTCTTTGGCTGAGGCAGGAGGATGGCAAGTGTGAATCCAGTTTGGACAGCTTAGCAATATCCTGTCTCAAAAAAAGAGAAAACCCTGTTAAAAGCTGGGGATTCGGCTCAGGGCAAAGGTCCTGTGTTCCACTCCCCAGTGCCTCACAAAAACAAAGCACACCGACTGATCTTAGTTAAGAATCACATTTTGGGGGAAGAACTGAAAACAGAAGTGTCCCCAGGGCAGACAGTGTTTCTGTGTGATCCGCTCAGCAGGTATCCACCGCCCGTAGCTCCCCAGCAGATGAGTAGCAGATTCAGCCCCTGGATTCTCAGAGGAGGGTGTGGTGTGGCCCGGGACCCACACCGGTGCAGCGCCTGGCCCCCGTCCCTGCCAGGCATGCCTCTGTCCTTGCTGTCCCCTGTCCCCATGGGCTGGGGGTGCTGGCTCTCCACTGGTCTCACCTGCACTGATGTTGGATGTCCTTGCTCAAAGATGCTACCTGTTTGTCCCTTATTCTTGGATGGCACAGTATGTCTCGCCCACAGCTGACCATGGCCCTGCTGGGAAGTAATGTGCTCCATGGTCGCCCCGTTCGTCTCTGAGGGGACCTACTTTGCCTTCCTATCTGTGGCCCTGGGTGCCTGGAAGCAGCCTGGGGCTTTGTGTGCAGTTTCCAGCTATCCTCCTGGGTCTGGCTGGTGGGGCTGCTCTGCCACCCGCAATCACAAGGGACCCTCAGCTCCTGTCCCCACCATGCAGAGGCTCAGGGCCAGTCCAGCAAAGGTCAGCCAGGAGGTTCCTGGCATGACTCGAGAATGCAGGGCCGGATACTGCTCAGCGGTGAGCACCCAGGAAGCATGCACAGGCTCCTGGGTACCGTCCCCTGCAGCACAGAAATAAAGTAAGCAGGTTATTTTTGCTGGGCATAGTGGTTTATGCCTATAATCCCAGGATTGAGGGGGCTGAGGCAGGAGGATCACTGAGTTCAAGGCCAACCTGGGCTACATAAGACCCTGTCTCAAGACAAAACACCACAGAACAACAAAACAAAACAAAAGAGGCAGACACGTGGGCCACCAAGCCCGGATGGTGACTGTTGATGATCCCCACACAGACCTGAACCGCACCTTCCCAGACAACGTGAGGTTCCAGAAGACGGCCCAGCCCTGCCTGCAGAAGGCCCTGTTCAACGTGCTGCTGGCCTACGGGCTTCACAACCAGGGTGTGGGCTACTGTCAGGTGAGCCCAGCTTGGGCCAGGGCTCGGGGGGCGGGCCACATGGCTGGCACTCTTAGGACACCGCTTATGCCTGCCCAAGTCAGGGCCTTTGGTGACTGTGCCCATGTCTGAGACCTGGGCTGCTTGGTGTCAGGTGGTAGAGGGGAGGCTGTAGGCTTTGAGTGGGCCGGTGCTGTCACATGATGTTCTGGGGCCCCAGATCCTCCTGGCCACCCTACATCCCGGAGGCTGCTTAGGAAGCAACCTGTGAACTTTGTCGACTGGACTCGCTGTGGGGTCAGCAGGTGTGCTCAGAAGCGAGTGCAAGGGACCCTGGGAGTGACCAGAAGAGGAGGAGCCAGCACGGTGTTGGTGGAGGGCCCAGGGGTCCCAGAGCTCATCCTGTCCTGGTGACGCCTGTATTTTGGAAAGCGTGTGCTGGGTGTTTCCCTAAAGGTTCGCAATCACCACCACCCCCAGCACACACTGTGAGACACTCGGTTCTATAAGAGTTGCCCCTGCTGGAAATGGTGGTAGCTGTGGCCCCTTGGTACAAAGTGGTCTTTGATTTCCCATTCCAGGTGGCACTCAGGGGTGGAAATGCTCACTTTTTCTTCTTAATTAGTTAATTTATTTATTTTTGAGATAGGGTCTTGATGTGCAGTTCAGGCTGGTTTGCTCAGGCTAACCTCAAACTCCCAAGGCTCTTCCTGCTTCAGCCTCCTGAGTGCTGGGCTTACAGATAAGTGCTGTCATGGCTGCGCCTGCGAGTTCTTCTTTTGACCTCAGTTGTCTGAATGCAGCATGTCAGGGCCAGCACTGGGTGTCCCTCAAGTACTACCAGAGTCTCAGAAGTCTGAGACTCGCAGGTTTTTGGGGTGCTTCACCTGGCGGGGAGTGGCCAAGCAATCCCAGGATTGTTTAAGGCATGCTTCCTATCCTGGACCAGGCCACAATTTGTGAGTGTCACTGCTGGGCAGTTTGAACCAAGGTTCATATGTAACTGTCCTATTAGGCGGTTTTTAAATTAATTTCATTAGTGAAAAGATGGGTACAAGTGACAAGCTTGGTTTGTTCCACCAGTGGTACATGATGCCTGACGGAACCGTGACTCAGGTACCACCGGTGGTCTAGCTGTGAGAGTGTGTTCAAGCTCAGTGTGAATTTTGTTTCCTGTTCTTCTGATTCCAGGGAATGAATTTCATAGCAGGGTATCTCCTCCTTATCACCAAGAGCGAAGAGGAATCTTTCTGGCTCTTAGATGCTCTCGTTGGACGAATTCTGCCAGGTACATTGACCCAGCGTGCAGCTTTCCATCCCATTCATGGTGATAAGGTGACTAGTGGGCCAGGTGGATGGAGTGGAAACAGCAGCCTTGTGGGCAGTTAAGGTCACGATCTTCTGCCACTCGCGCTGCCACTAGCAGGTGATCCCAGTGGGGACCTGCGTAGGCAGTGGTCATTTCTGGATGCTGCAGGTTTCTGTGGCCTCTGCCCAGAGGTGAGTTCGGCTATGTGTCCTGTTGGGCCCTGGCCCGCCCCGTGGGGTGTGGCCCAGGAAGGACCCTTCTTGGGGTCTGTTGGTCCCACCTTGCGTGGTGGCTCACATGGCTTCCTGGAACTTCGCTCCTGAATTTGTGGGCATGGTCAGCACCGTAATCCTTTCTTGCTAGAGCTTTTGGGGTAAGAATCCTCGGGTCTCCCCCTTTCCTGGTTACTAAGAGGAATGTCTGCCAGTGTCAGCAACATGCAGTGCAGGTGAGGACCGCAGTGTCCATGGTAGCTGTGGCATAGACATGGGCTGCAGTGTGGACCCTCTGGGTGCAAGAGGCCCAGAGCCTCACTCTCCCCTGACCATGGGGCTGGGAAAAAGCAACTGGCTCTGGCCACATGGAGCCTGCCTGGGACCCGTTTCCATTAGCCCATGTGTGGCCCTGTTCGGTCTTCAGCAGCTGTGCCCCACATGGACCTGCCTTGCGGGTAATGGGACCCTGACCGGGGATGCGTCAGCCAGGCGCAGCAGGTGGCACTAGCCTCGAGGCTCCAACCTCTGCTGAAGAGGAGCTAGGGCCGGAAGTGAAGGCTATGCTGGTGCCCTTGGAAAGCTCCAGGCAGAACCAGGTACCCAAAGCATCACCCATTACTATGGCATGGGGAGAGCAGCGTGGGCTGAGGGCCAGGGCAAAAGCCTGGGTCGCCGGTGAGATGCTGGCCAAGCCCACAACAGACTCAGTGCTCTGCCACAGCTGCCTCCTGAGTGAGCTCAGCTCCCTGGGTGAGCTCTGCCCATCAGGCCTCTGCTCTTTGCTCCACCTTGTGTCTTGGGAGCCATGTAGCACTGGGAGACCTGTCCTACCACAGTCTCTGTGGGAGAAAATGCAGTGGTGCCACCCAGAGCATGGAGTGGGACGAAGGGCCATCTTCTCATTACTCATTAGCTGCTAGATTCTGTGGAACCAAGTTGCAATTCAAGTGGGTCTCAATTCAGAAACAAAAGAAAGTGTCAGAAGTGAAACAAGGCAGGACTGGTGCACAGCTGTAGTTCTGGCCACTCAGAAGGCTGAGGCAGGAGGATCTCAAGTTGGAGGCCAGACTGGGCAACTCAAATCCTGTTTTGAAGAAGTCCTGAAGGTGTAGCTCGGCACTTGCTTAGCATGGGTGAAGTCCTGGGTTTTATTTCCAGCACCACATAAAAATTTTAAATAAATCTTGCCGAAAACAGAGGCGAATAGCTCATCAGGCACTATTGGGAGGCTGTGTATCCTGAGGTCCTGTGACCCTCTCCCCAAAGAACCTGGAGTTCAGATCCTGAGTGAAAGAAAGGGCAGCTGCGCCAGCCTGACTCGGGAGGGGCTGAGAGTGCCATGCAGCCTGTAAGACCCCTCAACTGGGGTGCTTGAGGGCTCACCTGCACGAGGACTGTGGTTGGCATGGCCTTGGCTGTGGAGGGAGACGCAGGTCATGGAACAGAGTCAGAGGCCAGCAGCAAGCCCAGCTATGGAGCTGTCCTCAGAGATCTGCCAGCAACAGGGGCAGCTTGGGCTCTGAGACCCTCAGTCACATCTGGCCGCCACTTAATGGAAGAAGGAAGAGCCAGACCTCGTGGACTCTGGGTGGACTCGGACTCTGCTGGAGAAAGGCAAAGCCTTGGAACTGGAAGGAAAGGCATGGGATATGTTGGGATGCTGAAGCGGTTCCAGAGAGTGGGGGACACGGGCAGCCCTCAGTGCCTGGCGGATTTAAACGTCAGTGTGCTTGTGGACCCTGCACCTCACAGGAGCCCCACTGACAATGACCCTGCGCCTCCCAATCTCCAGGTCCCCACCTGTTTGGTGCTGGGGCAGGATGGACCCTGACTCCTGTTCCTTCCCTTGATGTGGGGGCAAAGCTGCCTAACGGTGGGTCCAGGAAGGCCTAGCAATGAACAGCTGTGAGGAGCTGGGGCCGCTTCACAGTTCTCCATCTCTGTCTCTCATACCCTGGGCTGCCCTCTTCCATGACCTGTGTCCCTCTAGGGGACACAGCTGGGAGACATCTCAGGGTGGGGGGCACTACTGTGTTTCAGAGCTTGTCACGCACCTGCTGGTCATTGGTGGCCCTCAGCTCACCATCGTCTATGGCCAGGGAGGATGGCAGGAGTGGCCCTCCTGGGGAACACGCCAGGCTCTCCTTTGTCACAAGAACCAAGTCACCCCAGAGCTCCTGTTAGTCCTTCCTTCCGTGGCCCAGTGCTCCATCTCCTGAAGTGGCTCTGGGGCTTGTTCCTGAGGCAGAGTGCCTGGGCCAGGCCTTCAGCACCAGGCCCCCTGGCCCTGCTCAGGTTGCTGGGCATGTCGACCTCTCTTCCCTGTTCCTTTCAGCTGCTCAGCTATGTTGCACCTGAGTCAGGTCTTGGCCTTTCTTTGATCCCATGGGGTGGTGCCCACGGTGCCATGCGTCCCACTGGGGGGACAGCCAGCTAGGTACCAGACACTGCGTGTGGCCATGAGGTCAGTGTGCTCTGTGTGGTCACAGCAGGCCGAGGGCAGTGAGTCCAGGTGTGTGGTGTGCTGCAGTCTTCCGGTAACTAGTGCAGCATGTGCCCTGCCCTCGGGCTTGCTGACGCCCAGCTGCCTTTGCCACACAGACACTGTGGGGTCACCATGCAGATGGGTGCAATGATGAGCTGTGGCAGGTATGTCTTTGGCCTTTGATGGGACACTTCCCAGTCTGACATGGGAAAGAAAGGCACAGGCCCCGCTGGCGCCCTGCACTCTGGTGGGCCCTGGCGCCCTCACAGAGTGGGAAGAGCTGGGGTGAGTCCGGCCCATGGGGAGCCTTCCTGGGCTCCTGCTGTGCGCTTCCACAGCTCCCACTCATGCACAGGGTCATGAGATGGTGCCAGTGTCCTTGGCCCTCAGTCACTGACAGGAGAGCTGGGGAAGTGGTCACAGGGCCCAGTCTGGGGCGCAGGGCATGCCAACATCCGAGACCGCCTGGTCCCGAGGCTGTGGTGTAGACAGCTCCAGATCTGGGTGGGGGCAGCGCTTTGCCTTGCATATCCACCGAGTGGGATGGGGTTGTGGCAGCCTGACCTTCCTTTAGGACCCACCAGCCTCCTGCCCCCACCAGCAGGTCTGGGCATACTAGTGACTACATGGCCAGGCCTGTGGTTTTTGGAGACCTAGTATGTACATGTGTGTGATGTACATGGGTTACAGATCTGGAGACTGCAGGCGGGGTGCTCGGAGCGGTGCTCATGGAGCGGTGCTCATGACCCTCTGCGGCTGCCCCGGATTTGGCCTCAGGCCCCGAGGCCCCGAGGCCCGTGGGGAGTTGGGGCTCTGTTCCCTGCCTTGTCTGCTGTAGCTGGGGTGCATGCAGATCCGGTGAGAGCGTTGTGGGCACCCTGGGAGCAGAGGGTGGGGCCGGGTGCCCCAGGGAGAGGGCAGTGCCCTGCCTGGCCCCGAGCTCAGGGTGTTTAGTGCCTCTATTTTTAGAAGTGTCTAAGCCTCTGTCACAGGGCCAAGGTCATGTTGTGCAAACCCCTTGCTGCCTGAGCTCAGCCAGGGCCCTCCAAGGCACCACTCACTGAGATCGGGGTGCCCTGGGCCCTGTGCTTCCCCAACAGCAATAGGACTGGGAATGGGGTGTCCTCAGTTAGGAGGGAAGCAGGGGAGACAGCTTTAATCTCAGGGGTTTGGTTTTCGTGACACTGGGAATGGAACTCAGGATCTCACGCATGCTAGGGGAGTGCGGGCCACTGAGCTACCCCCCAGCTTTATATTTTTTTATGTTGAGACAGGGTCTCACCAAGTTGCCCAGACTGGCCTTCAACTCATGATCCTTTTCCCTTCGGCCTCTCTAGTACCTAGGATCACCATCAAATGGCTGAACCCATTTTTAGTGTAAATCAAGCATTAAAAATTGTTGCAGGGGCTGGGGATTTAGCTCAGCGGCATAAGTGCCTGCCTTCAAGCAGGCAGTCGTGAGTTCGATCCCTGGTAACGATAAAAACGAAAAAAAAAAAAAAATTAAAAAAAAAATTGTTGTAACACATGACATTAGCAAGGTAAAAGCTAGCGAGGCCTGCAGGTCTTCTGCTAGGACAAACGCCTGCTCAGAGAGATCAGGAAAGGCGGTGGGAGCGCAGGTCTAAGTCAGAGTTTTATTCCTACTGCGAGGATGCTGCGAGACGGAGACGTGGGGTGCTCACTCCTGAGTGCAGCTGCTCTGGGCAGCTGCCCTCCCGCAACCCTCCCCGTACCTGCCCCTCCCCATACCTGCCCCTCGGGAGTCCAGGCCCCCCTGGCTGCTCTGACTTCTGTAGCACAGTGATCCGACCCCTGCAGATAGGGTGTGTGTGGATGGCATGGCCTATCTGTACACGCCTCCCCATCCCTTGATCCCTGTCCCTTTTATTTTGCTCTTTTATTTATATTTTGGACTTCTCCTATACGAGAAACTGTGATACTTGTGTGATTTATTTCACTTTAACATGATGGTGTCAAGGTACCTCCAAAATTTTGGTACAGAGGACTCGAGTTTATTCTTCTTTGTGGCAGAGTAGCATTCTACTGTGTGTAAATACACTGTCTTTATCCATTCATCTGTTGAGGAACATGTAGGTCACTTCCAAGAGGTCGCTGTCATGAGCCATGCTGCTGTAAATACGGGCATGCATTTGTCACTATAATATGATGCCTTTAACTCATGCAGCAAGACAGCTGGGAGTGGAGTTGCTGGGTAGGGTAGAATATTTAGTTTTAGGCTTTTGAGACACACTAATTTCCACAGTGCGTGTACTGGTTCCTATTCATGTCAGTGATGCGGAAGGCTCCTTTCCTCCCACAGCTATGCCAGCATTTGTTACTGCTGATTTGATGAGGGCCCTTCTTCCTGGAGTAAGATAGAATCTCAGCGTTATTTTAATTTGCATCTCTCTAGTGGCCACAGGATTGAGCATTTTAAAAATATTGATCATTTGTTGCCTATTCATTTCTCTCATCCATGTATCGAAAGGGCCTTTTATGTTGGGGGTGTGATTTGAGTTCTTTATAGATTTCAGATGTCGGTCCTCTATCCAGGGAGTGGCTGGCATACTTCTTTCCTGTTCTTGAGGTCTCTCTTCACTCTGTTGCTTCCTTTGCTGTGCAGAAGCTTCCTCACTTGATATGATCCCACTTGTTGATTGGTGTTATTTCTTGTACAACTGGAGTTCTGTTCAGAAATCCCTTATCTCTGCCTGTGCCTGTTTTGTCTTCAGGCAGGTTCCGTGTCTCTGTGTTGACATGGAGATCTTCAGTCCATTTCAATTTACTTACCTTTTCTTGGTCAGCTTCTTTTGCTGAGAGTGACATCCTCTGGGCCCATCTGTGCCGTGGCCTGGGTAGGAGCTTCACTTGCAGGCTGGACAGTGTCATGCCCATGGGCAGAGGGCATCTGGTGGTGTGCGTCTCCCCCGCTGGGCACTTGTTACTGTGGTGAGCAGCACAGGGGTCCACAGTCCTGCTGACCAGGTGTCTGTGTGGCGGTGCCTGGCCCGGCCTGTACCCTGTCCCAGCTTGCCTTGTTTGCTCCACCCTTCCTCCTCAGGGTGGAGTCCTGTGCCCTCCCTGGATCTGCAGGGCAGAGGCTGCTGGGTGGCATGTGTCTCATGCAGTGTTAGTCCCTGATGTTCCCGTCCTTGTTTGGCAGATTACTACAGCCCAGCCATGCTGGGGCTCAAGATGGACCAGGAAGTCCTTGCAGAACTGGTCAGAATGAAGCTGCCAGCAGTGGCAGCCTTGCTGGACGGGCACGGTGTACTGTGGACCCTGGTGGTATCCCGCTGGTTTATCTGCCTGTTCGTGGACATCCTGCCTGTAGAGGTGAGCGCGAGGGTGACCCCTGGCGTGGTACAGGCCGATGAGGAGGTGACTGGGCCTCTGTCCTATAGACCGTGCTTCGTATCTGGGACTGTTTGTTCAACGAAGGCTCCAAAATCATCTTCCGGGTGGCCCTGACCCTGATTAAGCAACACCAGGCATTCATCTTAGAAGCCACCAGTGTGCCTGACATTTGTGACAAGTTCAAGCAGATCACCAGTGGGAGCTTCGTGATGCAGTGCCACACATTCATGCAGGTGCACGGGGCGGGGGGGGGGCGGGGGCAGGGCGGTAATGCTCCTGCTGTGGCTGCAGCCTGTGTGGAGTCAAGGGCTCTCTCCCCTCCTCTGCTGTCTCCAGACCCTCAGGGTCCCTGCCCAAGGCCGTCTGACACCTGGGTGCCAGGTTGGAAGTGTTGGGGGAGAACGTGGCCTGCCTTGCTGTGCCTCCCATTTCCTCCGGGGCTGGGGGCATTGGTGTCATGTCCATGAGGCTTGGCCTCATAGGAGGCTGGTCACAGGGCTTCCGAGCCACTGTCTTTAGCTAGTGGTCTCTTCCTGCCCTTCATAGCCCTAGTGGAGGTGCTGTCCTCCGTGAACCCAGAGGCACAGCTTCCCTAGGCCAGGGACAGACAGAACCTGGCCTGGGCACAGTGGGCGCGTAGATGGTGGGGTGTGTCTGGGAGGGGTGATGCTGTGTGTACAGCCCACAGCTGAATCACACCGCCAAGGCCGTGGCGGCTCACTCCACACTTACTGACTCTGAGATGATCACCGCTTCTGGCATGGCAGCAGGGCTCCAGGCCAGGTGGCGTCTACCCTGACCAGGACCTGTGGGTGATGCAGGGTGCTGTCCAACAGTTGGGTGGGGGTTTCAGGAAGAGCCATGGACAGCGCAGTGCCAGGAGCAGCCTGCACAGGGCAGTGGACACTCTGCCTAGGCTCACCTCCTGCACCCAGCTGGCACAGGCAGAGGTGGTGCTGTCTTTGCCCTTGGGTGGCCACATGCCTGACTGTCAGACCCGCATGGGTCCTCAGCTGCAGGTGAGATGGAGATCAGATTTGGGCTGCTCCTTGAGCCTGCTGGTGGCTGTCACTGCCATCCTGTCTTCTTCAGGCTCCTAAAGGGGATGACAGGCTTTGAGGGGCTTCTGAGTGCTGCCAGTGGGCTGAGAGTGCTTGCTTAGCGTGAACAGAACTCATGGATGGGCAGCGCCTGGCCACAGAGTGTTAACGGCCCTGAGCTGTGATGCCAGCAGCTCTCCACTCTCCATGGGACCCTAAGGCCCCACTGCTGCCACTCCCTGCCTCAGGCCAGGTTACCAGCTCTGGCTGTGGGCAGCTTCTGGCACCAGAGGCTCCTGGTCTTCCCACACTGAGTGTCCCTGAGCAGGGGCTCCCCTTGAGAGGGACCTCCCTGGAGGCTGTGTTCCCGGGAGCATCAGGCCATTCTTTCTGGTCTTGTTCCCCAGAGATCTTGCTCTCCTTTCAGTCATCTGTGCATGCGTGCTGGGGATTGAACCAGGGGCAAGCTCCATATGTGCTGGGCAAGTGCTGTCCCACGGGACCTCATCCCAGCATTGCCAGGAGCTGCAGGGCGGTGTTCCATCTGCCAGAGCTGCCTCAGTGCTGATCCAGGGCAGCCGGCCCATCCTGGCAGAGGCCTGAAGCCCTTCCCAGGCTTCCCTCCCAAAGCTGCAGGTGGATGCAGAAGTGCTGCTGCCTGGAAGAGACAAACTGAACACATCAAATGAGTGAGAGTCAAAAACAAGCTGCAGAAGAGCGAGGTTGTGAGGGCCTGGCAGAGTACTGGGCGAGGCCACTGTCACTGAGGCCAGGCATGGTGCCCTGTTGGAAGAGGCCTGAGCGATAGCTCATGCAGCAAACAAGTGGAAACCCTTAGTGTGAAATGGGGACTTGCCTTTCATCCTGTTGCTGGGTCAGCCCTCTGACAAGTGTGAGCGTCCCTCTGCAGTCCCCCAAGTGTCTCTGCCAGTCTGGTGTGTTCCTGTCCTTTTCTCTCTGGAGTTAGCACCAATGGAAGATTCTGTGGCCCTGGGGCTTAGGAGAAGCTGGCCTGCCCCAGAGAAAAACACTCAGTGACCCCTAAGCTTGACCATGTGTGGTGCTTATAAAACTGGCATACGCCCTTCCATCTAGGTTGTGGAGAGTTTTGTGGGGGATCCATTCTTCCACGTTTTAAGCTAACAGGGTCCCTGGGGCTAAATCAGAGGCATTTGAGACTGGTAAAGGCCAGCAGTGTTCACGTGGGTTGTCCGGGCCTTTCCTCTCACTCATACCCCTGGGTTTGGGAAGATTGTCCATTAGGGTACGTAGACCCTCAAGAGCTGACAAACTCGCCTCCCTGTTTTCCTCCTGGGGCTGTCCTGACCTCACGAAGTGCTCAGAAGCAGGGGCGACGAAACACTGTCCCATCCCTTCCCAGGTGGCTGTGGTCCCTAGGAGGGATAGAGAAACTACCTGAGTCCATGGGAAGATGCTAGGTAACCCCGTCCAAAAATGAGGCCCTGTATCACTTCGGAGATGCTGGGGGCCCAGGAGGGGTGGCTTCCCTCAGGAGGGCCTATGCCTCCTAGATGGGAAAAGCTTCACCTCGCTCCTCACCTGTGCCTGCTGCGTCTGCCTCCACTCCACTGCTGTGCTGTAGGCAGGCGATCGGTCACCAGAAGTAACCTGACCCCTGGTGGAGGTGGTATCTGTGGCCCAGCTCTACAGAGAAAGTTGGCGTTTCTGCCTGGTCTCAGGGAGCCTCTGTGCGTTCTGGCCCTCAGGCTGGGGCCGGCAGCCTCTTCATCCTGCCCATCCGGGGGACACAGACAGATGGCAGCAGAGGCAGGCCACAGCTGGGGGGATGAACAACCTGGAGCCAGACAGTGGTGTCCTCTTGTGAACCCAGCCTGCAGCTCTGGGTCTGTCTATCCGTTTGTCTCCATGGTAGTGTCAGCGGGACATCAGATAGAAGTATGTCACTGGGCTGTGCACTCTGAAATGAACTCTGCTTTGCTTCCAGAAAGTGTTTTCAGAACCCGGGAGCTTGTCCATGACGACCATCACCCGGCTCCGTGAGAGCTGCAGGGCAGCACTGCTGGCACAGAGGTGACCAGGTCCCTGTGTCCCCTGGTATCCCTACATTCCTGGCAGCGGGAGGAGCTGTGACTGCTAGAGCTATGTCTGGGCCATCCCCACTGTCTCCACTAGTGCTGTAAATACTTGAAGTCACCACTTTTGTGGTACGTGATTGAAAAATCATGTCAATCTGTAGCCTTTGTTGCCTATGAAGTCACAGATTCCTAGTTTTTACTAGAGACATTAGTAATATATAAAATGTAAGATGTGCATTTATATTTAATAAAACACCTCAGCACTGTGCCTCTGTGATTGGAATTACACATCTGCTGGCTGGAATTACAGTCAAGGCCGAGCCATTCTGTGGCTGGTAGCGGGGGCTGACCTGCCCACTATGGCACAGCATGTCTCCACCTGAGGATTGTGCCTGCTACACCACTTCTTAGCAGACTTTTTCAGAAAGCCCCTAAGGAGTGGACAGGCAAGTGCCAGGCCTGGACACCACGGGTTGAGTGCAGCCCAGGAGGGCCAGGCAGGGCCAGGGCTCTCAAGCTGGACCCCTGGGCCTCCCTCCAGCCTGTCCTGACAGGCAGTGCTGTCTGCTGCCCCTACCAACACTTGCCACCTGACACGGAGAGGGAGCCTCCTGAGAGGCCAGGCTGAGCCCCAGCACAGGCAGGGAAAGTGGGACAAGGGAAAGTGGGTCAAGGGTGAGCCCAGGCAGTACTCCCACTCGGCCTGTGGAAGTCCCTGCCTTTTCCACAGGGACCTTTCAGTGTGCCAGTAGCATCCATGAGTCCTGGGTGGCATCCCTTTACTGCACCCCCGGGGAACTGGCTTCTCAGCCATGTCTGACACAGCCAAGGGACCCATTAGCCCCCATGGTCTCACATGCCCATCAGTGGCCTGGCAGGCCATCCTTGTGGTACCCCTGCTCTGGGACAGGCCTTACTGCAGCTGGACCTTCCCATGCCACCATGGTGACTGGTCACTGCCACTGGTCACTGCTGGGCCTTGTGTCAGGTCTGAGCCTCCAGGGTACACTGTACTGCATCCTGGGAGGACCCCCCCACCCCATTCCTATTGTCACAGCTGTCCAGGGCCACCTCAGGGTGGCCTGACCTCACTCAGGTCCCTGCTCCTTCATCTCAGAAAGACCTCCAAAGGCACTCGCCCCAGGTGCCTTTCCAAATGCTCCCAACAGGCTGGGTGCCCATCCTGTTTGGCCTGAAGGAGGCTGCTTCCTACGGGCAGTCTCCACTGCTGACCTGGCTGGGGTATGAGCCTTGTGGAGCCTCACTGTGGCCTTGACTCAGTACCAGTACACTCACCCCTCGGGGAGGGCTGGGGCACTTTCACGCTTCTGTCAGTCTAAAGTCGGACAGCCAAGCCATGGGGCACCTGCTGGGGAGCTGTGTCCTGCTCACCCTGGGCCTCTGGACCCATGGGCAGGGTCCTGCACTGTCCTGGGGACTCTTGGGGGAGCACAGAAGTCCTGAGAACAAGGCCAGGCACCACTGATGATACTCTGCAGAGGCTGCTCTCTTGACATCAGTGGGCACCTGCCTGCAGAGACCATATCCACACCATGCTGCAGGAGATGCCCAATGGTCTCAGACCAGGACAAGGTCTGCAGGGAGCACCTCCCATGCCCAGCTCTGTGGCCACACCGTCCTGGGCACCTGTAGTGCTGACAGAAGCACAAGGTCCAGACAGACGAAGAAAGAGACTGTTTATTAGCATCGTTACAGGCAGCACAACACACAGAGCCGGGCTCCATGTCCAGCTGCGGGCACAGCAAAGGCGTCAGCAGAGTAAGTCCATCAGTGTACAGTGCACGACAGGCTACCTGATGCCAACAGGAGACCAGAAACCACATCACAAGTCAACGAAAGTAACCCCATTCCAACGCCTAAAAAAGCAGCAGCTCTATGGCAGCGGGTGTAGGCACGTGGAGGTCACACCCGGTTGGACCTGACCATCTTGGCCCAAAGCTGCCCCAAGCTTCCAGATGCCCCAGGGACCACCACGGCGTTCCCGCTTTGCTGGTCTGAACTCCCTGGCATGCCAGCCTTGGGACCAGCCACCCCAGCCCTGTCGGTCCACAGTGTTCAGACCACACATCTGCAAGGCCTAAATTGGAGCAAAGAATAAAGGAACCAACACCAAATTTTAAAACATTGAATGAGTGGAGCCCATGCCAATTCAGAAAAGCACTCTTGCCCTCTGCAGAGTTCTACTTCGGTAAATATTAACGTTTAACCAGTTAGCAAAATATTTAACCCGGTTAGCAAAATTAACACCGTCATTTCAATATTAACTCTTTGTGCATAGTAAATGTTGCCAAGATGAACTTCACATTTGTAAGCAGATTTGAGAACAGTTTGCCAGAAAGTGTGCCTCCCTCCATGCCACGCCACACCTCGCCACGCACGCCTGCCCGCCTGCATGCCCGGGACGCAGAGAGGCCCCGCCTGCAGTGTCTTCGGCATCCCACTGCCCTCTCTAGATGGTCTGGTAGCCGGCGTGACTCCGCTTTCTGCCAATGAGGTAGGCGATGAGCACGATGAGCACGAGCCCCGCTAGGGCGCCGCCCACAGCAATGGGGATCAGCATGTTGTTGCCATCCAGCAGACATTCCTCCGCTGTGGGGAGGGCGGGGGGCACAGTGTTTCACCCATGGCCAGTGGCTAGGCTTCCCAGCTGGGTGAACAAAGGGACCCTCGGGTGGGGATGGGAGGCTGTGTCTGGAACCACTGACAGGGACAGGTATTCTCCACCCAACCAGCTGAGCCCCTCGGCAGGAGAGCACCACAGCCTCAGGGAAGCGGAGGCTGCCCCTGCCCCACCCGGCATCCTGGCTGTTGTGAGTGGAGAGCTACCCAGCATCCTGGCCGTTGAAGAGTGAGTGGAGAGCTATCCCTGCCACCCCTGTCCTCCCTCCCTGGCCAGCCAGCACCTGGCAAGGTCTGCAGTACACTCACCGGAACCAAACCTGTCTCCTTCGACCTTGAAAGCCTGGACCTGAACACTGAAGAGGTTGAGCACGAAGGCGGGTGTGATGTGCAGCCGCTCCTCAGCCGAGCACTTGTAAGAGTTCCCCACAGTGGCCTGCAGGGCTCTCAGGGAGCTGTTTGCCGCGGAGAAGCTGGGCCCTGGGAGACAGGGGAGGGTCTAATCACCTCAGGTCACTGCAGGCAGGGGCCCTGTGATCGTGGCGGATCACAACTTTGTGGGGCTCACCTCTGGCATCAGGGACAGTCATGTTCAACTGGACTTCGTGCAGGAAGAACCGATTGGCACTCGCGTTCTGAAGGAGAAGAGACCTTGAAATGCCTTCACATATGGTGTAGGCACAGTCACCCTGGCAGGTCCTGTTTCTAGCTCTCAAACAAAGTTGTAGGCACCCTACCTACAGGGTACCATGTGGTGGTCAGTTCCTTCCAGCCACTGCAAAAGCTTTTGCTGAATGGCACAGGGAAGTTAAAACTCAAGAAACCCAACTGTTCACAGCTCACTCGCACCTTGTGTGAAGAATGCTGAGGGCAGCACTCACTCTTCCTACTCTGCTGCCCCTACACTGATTCTTTCCAGGGAGTATAGGAGCCCTGTCCATCTTCACCGTGCGTCACCCTGCAGCAGCTTGGGAGCATTGGAAGCAGGAAGGGGTCCTGCCCAGGGCCCACCAAGACATGGCAGGAAGACAGTCTAGTTAAGGTGCCCCAAAGCAGAAGCCCCGGAGCCTCACCAAGCCAAAGCGCAAGACCAGCAGGCTCTCTTCACTCTTCAGCTCCAGGGACACCAAGCTGGTGCCACAGCTCCCTGAGGCAGTGGTTACGTTGGGGTTGATGTTGACCACTCTGGTCACGGTCTAAACAAAGCACATGAATAACATCTCAGCTTTGGGCCCCTCTCCACAGACTGCAGGGTCACTAACATACCTAGGAGAAAACATGTGTCCTACACCAGTATAGACCTCTGCCACCAAAACAGCCTCTAGGAACAACCTTCTTCCTACCGTGTTGTCCTTCCGTGGGTAGGTGATGTTCAGCTGCAGCCCCATGCTGGCCAGCAGGCAGGTCCCATTATGGCCGCTCACATTGTACCTATGTGTGGAGGGGCTCGGAGATGCGGGGCTGGGCGAGGGGCTAGGTGGTGTGGGTGGTGCAAGGGTTGGTGGCGGCAGGTCCTGCTTGCAGCGCGTTTCTGTGGGGACAGTGGAGAGGGTACATGGAGTCAAGTCCCAAGCCCAGCACTTTTCTAATGACCACTTACTTCGGAGACCAAACTCAGAAAGGGGATGCCCACACTGAACCTGTGGGCCTGGCACCTTCTATCCGCCAACCTTGGGCTCAATAGTGGCCAGGCCTGGGTAGCTGGCTACACAGGAACTTAGCGTTCCCTCTGTCTGTCTCTGCCTTTGCAGCAGTTGGCAGGGCATCTCCCAGCCTGTTCCTCCATTCCAGGACAAACCCTCCTCCTGCGGGCTGTAAGGAAAGCTGCAACCAGTCACAATGGACACGGGCCTGCTGTCTCCGAGTCCCCGCCATATGAAATGTGGCAACACATCCTCTCTCCTCACTAGCCAGGCATGTGTTACAGACATCACAGCCACCACAGGGGTCTCTGCTCCTGGCCCAGCTGGGGGTGGGGTAGACCTGAAGGACAAGTAGAGCTGGCTGTTTTGGTTTCTCTCTGGGGCAAGGTGAGAAGACAGGTAAGGGACAGCCACTGATGAAGTAAGGGACATGGGGGCCAACAGAGGAGCTGCTCAGGGACAGGCTCAGGGTTCTGCCCCTTAGACACGGATCCATGCAGGACACATCTCTGGCAGCCTGACCACGGGTAGGACAACTCCACAGTGCTCACCCACAGGCCAGCGCCTGCCTCCATTTTCCCTGTGGCTGATCAAGGAGTCTGGAATAACAGGTTTGGCTTTTCCCTCTGGTCCTACGCTTTCCTACATTTCTGTGGGGCAGAGTCACAGGAGCACGTGGGAAGCCCGGGGAGGTGCCAGGCTGCCTGAGGAAGCAGTGCTCCTCACTCAGAGGCAGAGGAAAGCCCCTCTTGGTGCCCTTCCTATGGCCAGGGTGGGTGTACAGCACTGTGCCCACACTGCCTAGCCTCAGGTTCCAGGGTAGAGCCCAGATCTCAAGGCCCACAGTGCTGGTGGACATCTGGCTTGTCTCCAGGTGGAGCCACAGCTCCAGCTTGAGGTGACTTCCTGACCCCCTTCCTCCTTCCTGACTCAAAGTCCTGCTGCAGAGGGGAGGGAAGGAGAGACTGTGCGTCCTCTCAAATCCTGAGCCCTGAGGGCCGCCCTTCCTGACTGCAGCATGTCCATGAACCCAAGTCCTGCACAAAGATCCTAATGTAAGCCCAGTCAGCTTCCATCCCTTCAACTTGGCCTGGACTACAGGAGACACTAGCTCCTAAGAGATGAAAAACTGCCAAACTGGGCAGAAGTGTGGTTTACAAAGACTCACGCTTATGAGGGAGAAGATGGATAAATCTGAGTCCTGTGGGGTCTGGGGCCCCTGGCTCAACATTACCCAGGGATGCACCAGCCAAAGGACACAGATGCCCCTCTTCAGGGTGGGTGCGGGTGATGGCTTGCAGGGGCTCTGAAAGGAGGTTTCTGTGTTTTCCATCTACATGGCTGACAGGAAGTCAGTCCAGTCTTGGCATGTGGCTTGTTTGAATGATCGTGCACTGCCCAAGTTTTCTTCCATGTGACCATTGGTGGGGAGAGGTAAGAGGAAAAAGGCTTTCTGGCCAGGCCCTCACTATATAGCTGCAAGTGTGTTCAGAGCCTTCTCCCTCCACCTGTCATTCATCAAGTAAAGACGATAAGGCCAAGAGAAGAAAGAGCCATTTAGTGGCCAAAACAATCACTGATTTAGCAGAACTGTATTCATCCAACAGTTGGTTGGAATCCCTGATGGGAACAGACCAGGGACACAACAATACACTGCTCATGCGTGTGCTGGGTCTCTTCCCTAAGGAATCTGGAAACTCAGTTAAAGCAAAAACTACAGAAATGCCTAGGAACCCTAAGAATAAAAAGAAAATGGAGGAAGAAATGATTCAATTTTACCTGCAAACAAGTGTTTTTCAGCAGTTGATGCTGTGGTGCTGTGGGGCCTGAAGGTGGCCCATAACCCTGACAAAGGAGCTACCCCACTGAGTCCTGAGAGCTCTTCTAATACCATCCCACCGCCCAGGCCCAGAGAGCGAGGATACAGCGTTTGCAAGGAGCCCTCCAAGCATCGAGCGGCACCCCAAGCCTGGCTCTGTTGACCCTAAGGATTCTTAGCAAGAGGTCCAGACTGGTAAGACAAGGAGTGACTCTTAAGGGTGTCACTCAATCATGAGATGGCATCCCAAAGCCATAGGCTCCTTCCCTGAGACAACACAAGATGGGAGTGCCCAATCCTCTCCAGCTGATGACCAAGTAGGGGCTGATCCTGACCCTGGGACACCATGGCTGCCACAGATGCTCAGTAGTGGTGCCTATGGATGGACCTGGGTTCTCGGCACTCTTCTATGGTTTGCTAACAGATGGGTCCAGAAGCGCTGAAGAAGCAGCAAGAGTTCCTTCCCCCAGTGTAAGCATCTGAAGATTTAGCACAAAATCAAACTGACCGTCATGAGGGGACAGGCATGCTCTCACATCCACCTCTGAAGCCAGGACATGCTGAGTAGTGGACAGGGAGCAGCTTCAGGCTGCAAGCCCAACTCTGGGCAGCCCCTAGGAAGAGCCTCATTCTCAGACACTGTCCCTCAGAATCTGAGACTTTGTTCTACGTTTAAAAAAAACATGACTGTGTGGAATCTGGAAGGGAAAGGTGCAGCAGCCATCGACTGGGACTGTGAACCTCAATCTGTTTTAAAAAGTTGTTATAAACTTAAAGGACAGGCAGGTCCCTCTCTGCTGTGGCTCCACTTCCAGTTAGAGAAAGTCTCAGAGCTCTCCCCATGCTTGTCCTCGGCCACAGCAGAGCCTCCAGCCTCTGGGAGTTACATGGGTCAGGGATCAGAAAACAGCAGGCCACCAGGTGACATGCCACAATGGTGGTGCCACAGGCTGAAGCCGCATTCTGCAACCACATTCAGGCCCAGGACAAGGCTGACCAGTGCTGTGCTGCAGGTTCTCACCGTGTCTGCTTCCTCTATGCTAGACTAAAAGGCCACCAGAGGCCTCCTGTCCTGTAAGGCTGGCCTGAGCCCAGACACCCTGTCTATGCCAAACCAAGAACGTGGCTGCAGACCTGCCCTGCTCTGCCTGAGGTCCAACACCACTCGACAGCCCACTTGGTGTCTCCTCCTGACCAGGCCACTGCTGAGAGCCTCTCAGCAGTGCTGCTGAGGCCATCGCAGCAGCCTCTTTCTGTGCTGACCTGCGGGAAGGCGCCTGGCCACACACCAAAAGCTGGCATCAAAGACTGAACGCAGGATGCTTTGCTGGAAGGCCTACCTCAAAGGCCACCTCCATTGGACCTCCCACAAGTTCCCACCTCTCCAGATGCACTTGGCTTGAGGGCAGGGCTTCTTCCTGCCCTGGCCCTGCCATTAGCACTCTTGTCATCTTTTCTGTGAAGTGACAGACTATGAACGGATTAGACTGGGGCTGGGTTATGACAGCTGGGCTCTGCTGTTGGTGTGAAAGCAGCTGCCAGAAATGTGACGAGCCTGAGGCTGAGCTCCAGCTGGAGTCACTTCACCAGCACTGATGCTGTGCGATACTCAGGCTCTTCTCTGATGGCAGGGCAGGTCCTCTGCTGGGCGGGACCCATATGGGAGAAAACCTTTCTGGGAGCCCTGCCACCAAGTCACGTAGGTCCTTTAGCAATATTGCAGGGAGCACTAAACAGCAAGCTGGCCAGAGCAGGTCTAAGGCCATGGGCCCTGTGCTGTCCCCAGTGACACAGGTAAGCCCAAGACAACCACACAGCCTCAGCCTTCTGAAAAATGCCATGTTGCATGGGACTGTTGAGACAGGGTCTTGTTCTATAGTATAGGTTGGCCTTGAACTCATGATGACCCCCCTGCCTCGGCCTCCCAAGTGCTGGGATTACAATGTAATCCCAGCCTAATTGCCATTGTTTCTGACTCGATGAAGAGGATTAGGACTTTCCATCACCCTTTCTGAAGTACTAGGGACTGAACCCAGGGCCCTGCATACGGCAGGCAAGAGTCACTCTGCTACGTCCCAGCTCCAAACCCCTCTGAGAAAGGCTTTTAATTATTTTTGCCCAGGCCATCCTGAAACTTCCGATCCTCCTGTTTTAACTTCCTGAGTAGCTAAAATTACAAGTGATACCACACGCCTAACACAAACACACTTTACTATTTTTTCCCCTTTCATCTGTTTTTTCTTGAAATTATCAATTAGAAAATTCTTGCCAGAAAAAAAAAAATTAAAAGTCAGGGATATAAGCTTATAGCACCCCTGGGTTCAGTTCCCAGCACTACAAAGAAAAAAATTTGCTACTCTCTGCCAGGTACTGAGACAAAAACTTTCCACACAACCATCTTCAAAGCCAGACTACTGTACTTACTTGATAAGTCAAGAAAGCAACAGCTTGGCCAGCTTGCCAGTATCAGGCTAAGGAGGCAGCCTGAACCCTGCCCATTTGATCCAGATCTCAGCGGCTGGCACTGGGGAGAGGCCAGGGCCAAGACTTCCTCAGGAAGGCCGGTCTTTTGTCTCTGTGCTGGCCTGTCTGACCTGCAGAGGGTAAGCCAGCTGGGAGCCTAGTCTCACATGACCAGGACAGTCAGCACAGGAACAGTGTTCTCTATGCTGCTGCTCTGATCCCTTTCTTAAAAACTCTGTGCACACTGTGGCATAGGCACCCTGAGCTGGCTGATGATGTTCATGGCACTACCCCACCTGCCTTTTCTCAGAAGCTCTGCTTCTGCCCCACTTCTGCCCACTCCATGCTCAAGTCCTACTTCCTTCCTAGGTCTGAGGGTGAGCGTCTTGTCTGGGCCTGGCTTGCTCTAGCTGGTCATGCCCACCCTCACCTTCCAATGCCAGACTTTTGCTGGCTGTGAACCCCTCCTGCGCAGTATGCCAGGTGCTGACACACAAGCCAGGCCCCGTGGTCGCAGCAGTGCGGCAGCGTCTCACCTCCCTTGCTGAAAGTGCTGTTGGACAGGTAGGCCTGGATGGTGGTATCGTAGAGTGTGACAGTCACATTCTTCATGTGCACCTGGGTAGCGCTGACACAGTGGTATTTTTTGTCTATGTCTGCCAGAATGTCTGTCATGGATTCCTCAGTCTTGATTTCTGCAACAAAACACCACCAACAGAAAAACAAAAACACCACACATACAAGTGAACTTACAGTACTTGGGTCCCAGTGATTGCGACCATCCTTCAACCCTGTTTCCTCCTGCCCATGTGCAGGCCCGGCTCTCACCCTTGAAGCTTGCGTTGGGGAAGAGCTGCGTATCTGACAAGTTATACACAAAGCGCAGGAGCTCTACACGGTAGCGGGTGGTGTTCCGTGTGAAATGGAGGGTCAGCAAATGTCCATCTCCAAAGGCGATGGCCAGCTTGGAGGCATTGCCTCCTCCACATGAGCTGCTGTTCAGTACTTTTGCGGAATGAGGCAGGTCAAAGGTCGTATTCTAGGACACACAATTCAAGAACCCCCTTGAGGAGCAGAAATGCTACAGGAAGACCTGCTACCTTCTATAAGGCTACAAAAATTTCAGCTCTATCTCAGGTATAGTCTTGTTTTGGAGGATTACTGGGAATTGAATTCACAGCGTTGTGCTTGCTGGGCAGGTGCTTATGCTGCTGAGCTATATATCCTTGGTCCTTCAGATACAATGTTAAGGTACCACTCCTTAGTAAGATTTTATTTGATACAGTATTCAAATTTGTGCAGTGCAGATTAACTCAATATATGTACAAAACGTGATGATCAAATCAGGAAAGCACACTTCCCTATCATCAAATGTTTATCCTTTTTGGGCACAGGCACCCTCCTGACCCCGTCCTCTGGTCATTCTTAAGTACACATTAAACTGCATACACATTTTGAATGTAACGAACAAAACCCATGAACAAGGTCAGTATGCAGTGTGCATAGTTAAGGTAACACCAATAGGTGATTAAGGACCAAATACAACACCTACCTGCTACCAGTTTGTATAAATCTAGGAGATAAAAACCCTTAAGTTATCTAAAACTTTTAACAGAATCATGAGTATCTTAATCCAAGCAGCACAGCGTAAGCCACCACCAATGTTCACTTCCTGGAATATAACAACTGATCTAAAGTGCAACAGATCAAAACACAGCGTAAGCCACCACCAATGTTCATTTCCTGGAATATAACTACTGATATAAAGTACAACAGATCAAAACATGGAGCTGTTCACTAGGCACAAAGAAAAAATGTGCAACAGCCTATGATAAAAAATGGTCTTGAAGGAAACTGCAAGCCAGTGCAAGGTGAAACAGTGCAAGGCCCAGCACAAGGCAGTCTGTATGCTGTGACCACAGCAAGGGCACAGTAACAGCAGGGGCTCTTGATGACCCTGGGTGATGAGCGGCTCGCTACCCTGGGATGGGTTTTCAAAGGTACCTCAAACTTTCACCCCCACACCCCCTACACACACACTACGCACATAGGCACACTCTCACCGGTGTCACCTACCTTAGAACCATGCTCAGTCTCGTAGCTGGTCAAGAAAGTGGCAGAGAAGTTGGCCATGATACAAACTGTCCCATTGCTGTCTACAACCTCAAATACTGCCGAGGCGCCATATGTGAGGCCTGCTAATTCCAGGAAAGACAAAGAGAATCAAATACCTGGCATTTTTGTTTTCTGCAGCTGTAGCAGTAATGGCTCTGTCAGACCATCTATCAAGCACTGTATGCTGAACGATGAGTGGTACAGGACAGCTGGTGCCTCTGGTCCTCTGTCCCTCCAGGGACACATCCAAATCCATTCTCTGGTTCGCCAACCTGGTCCACAGCTATTTAGTATTTTACTCCTGAATGCTCATGGGGTGGGGTTATTCATCAATGTCCACCTCACCCCAAGTGTATGCTATTCCTATCCCTCACTGTCTGCCTGTTAAGTATGGTAGCACCCCTTGTAACTCAATGCAGATAGTGTACTGACCGTGTGAGAACCCCACGGGGGCAGAGCATCTTGCCATGTGGTGCTAAACTGACACCTGAGAGTCTGATGGGCTCTTATGTCTTAGAGCCCAGCAAGTAGTGTGGCAAGGACAACCACGGACTGTTAAGCATTTCACCCAATTTCAAGACAGTCCCAGAGCACAGTGGCTCAAGCTACCCTGCCTGCAGCTGAGGGCTGAGGCACACCTTCCACTTGTCCAGGTGGGACTGTCCTTCCCAGGGGATCAAGGCAGAGGGAAGTGCCAAGGCTCTTTAGGGTTGGGTCTTGCTCAAAATTCCCTAAGGGCCAGGGATTTAGCTCAGTGGCATAAGTGTTTGCCTGGCAAGCACGAGGTTGTGAGTTTGAGCCCCAGTACCAAAAAGAAAAAAAAAATATATCTTGCCTCCTCCATCAAGATGCCTAGCAGCAAATGTAATCTTGTCACCACAGTAGGAAACCAGCACTTTGCCAAATCACAATTCATTTACAAAGATGGGCACATCTAGTTCTAAAGCCAAACACTACTGGCCAACACTATGAACTGTCTGCAAAAGCTATGTCATCATCACTCGCTCCCATCACTCTCCAGCCGCGTGTACTTCCTGCAAGTAGTTACACATGTGCAACCTGGACTGTCACTCCCACTGTAAATGTGACTCGGGACAGCCTCTTCAGAGAAAGGCTATCCAACTTTTCACTTAAAACACAATCCCTGGGAAAGACAAGTGGATTCCAAAAAACCAAATATACTTTACACCCGGGACATATACAAAATAAAACTGTAACAGAAACTAGTATTCCATCGTGTATTGGGTATGGTGGTGCACACCTGTAGTCCCTGCACTCAAGAGGCTGAGGCAGGGGACTGCCACGAGCTCAAGGCCAGCCTGGGAAACATAGGGAGTTCAAGGCAGGTTGAATTACATATTGAGACACTGTATCAAAAAAAAAAAAAAAAAAAAGAGTGAAAACTCATATTCCAATGCAGAGTCAAGTGTATAATCAAATACTTCATATCTTCCCTTACACTTCTAGGAAAGAAATACCAAAAATCTATGTTCACAAAGAAAAGCACACACTTGGAATTCTAGTCATTTTAGGAAGCTGAAGCAGGAGAATTCAAAAACAAAGGTTTCCTTGGAACACTTAGCAAGACCCTGACTCCAAAACAAGAAAACTTTTATGGTGCATTTTATACCATGAAGTTTGTAATCTGCTACAGACTCAAATTTGGTAAAGATAACCCTTTTTCTTATCACTATAAATTAAAGATAATATTATAAAAACATTCTTAAATTTAAAAAGGACACCTGTTACTTGTTTTGCTTTGCTTAATCCACACCATGATACACAGTTAACGCTACACTAAAAGCTTTTCCAATCACTATTACACTCGACAAACTTAAGAGGAGAGTCTACAATCTATTTGCAACACAGGGAAGGATTTTAAAAACAACATTCCCACCTGTATCTGTGAGGAGGGGCCAGAGGTGAGGGGCAGAAGGCACAGGCAGGAGCAGAAACAGGGACAGACTGGACACATGATATGTCCATGTTCATGACACTGCCAGCGTCCCTGGCCTGAGAAGTCCTCCATGAAGGGGCTAAAGGGGTCCGAAATCCTGACACCCATGGCCAGTTATGAAGAAGTTCTCTGAAGATTTCCTAAATCATTCCAGAAAGGTCTTCTGGCCTGGCCTACAGCTCAGAGACACAGCCCCAGATACCTGGTACCACACAACAAAAAGAAACAACTGTGTGTTCGCCCCAAACACTTCACCACCTAACACAACACACTAGTAACTCCTTAATCACAGATTTTATTTTCACTCAGCAGATATTTGAAGATATGAGCTTTCAAAGTAAAACAAAATATGACTAAATTTAAAAACAAGCCTTAATAGTATTAAGTATCCATATTTATTCTAAAGAGCCCCAGAAATTCTGAATTGATAAAACCCAATTTGGATCAAAAGAAAAATTTTAATGAGTATGAGAAGCAGAATTTTAAAAGCAGCACACTCATGCCAGTGCTCAGAAGTCTTTTAAAGACTTAACAGGGGGCTGGGGATTTAGCTCAGCGGCATAAGCACCTGCCTTGCAAGCAGGCGGTCGTGAGTTCGATCCCCGGTACCGATAAAAATGAAAAAGACAAAAAAAAAAAGACTTAACAGTGGCAACTGATTTGAAGAAAACAAATAACAAAACCACCTTTTCCAATCACGTTAAGGTGACAGGTGTCAGAGCCAGTCCCAGGCAGTTGCCTGGACTCTTTCTGCCCAGAAGCCTGCGCATCTCTCCCAGGGTCATGCAGAAGGGCAACCTCAGCTGGCTCACACACTGTAGAAATTTCTGCAGTTGTGGGCAGCACATATGGGCCTGAGACAGAGACCTCAGGTCTCAGTGGCTCTTACTAGGTGTGCAACATTGGGCTAGGTATGACCACCCAACCCCCAACTTCTGAGGCTGTGAACAGGGAACACAGGTGCTGACACCTGGAGGCTGTGAGAACACCTCCCAGCCAGTGCCACTGAATCCCTGGTACTGGCACTAGTTTTCACACTAACTGTAATACGTGGTTTCCTGTCAAGTTCATCATTTAATCATCAGTTTCTAACACAAAGTATCAACAAGATAGTATATTATTAGCCTGGTGAGGTGGTGCATGCTGTAACCCCAGCAGTGGCAACTTGGAGGCCAGACTCAACTACAGTGAGACTCTGTCTCAAAACCCAAAGGAGGCCCAGGAGGTTCAGCAATACAGCACTTGCCTGGCAAACACAAAGTCCTGAGTTGGATTCCTGGCACCAAAAACAAAACAAAACGAACAAAATGAGTGTTACTGAAGAAGCACTTATTTGTTTTGGGGGGAATGTCTCTTGCTATATTGCCCAGGCTGATCTCAAACTCATGGAGTCAAGGAATCTTCCTGCCTCGGTCTCCTGAGTGCTGGGACAATAGGTGTGTGCCAGCACCCTGCTTAGCAAGCACATGAACTACATTTACACTGTGGCAGGTACTGCTCAAAGTGCTTTGCACTGATTTTCACAACAGCCCCGACAGGCAGTCACTACTGATTCCCCTTCACGGAGGTGGAAACTAGGGCAAAGCAACCCAAGTTGCTCAAGGTCACAATGCAAGTGAGCAAGCAGTACAAGTCTTCTGCTTTTCTGGCTGCTGACCACAGTGCAAATGCTACATCTGACCACACTGCCCCCGTCTCCAGCTGCTGAGAGAACAGGATTCAAATTACAAAACACTAGCTTTTGAAATAAGAGAGACTGCTATCTGAGGAAGTCAGTAAATTTAATTTTCATTAAAAAAATTCACACCCACTTTATCCTGTTCAGTATTTTTCTTCTTAAACAGTGACACATCATCTATGACAATTAAAAAAACAAATCTGCTGATCACAGTGGCACACACCTATGATCTTGCACTCTGAAGTTTGAGGCAGGAGGATCACAAGCTTAAGCACATTTAACAAGATCCTGTCTGAAAACAAAAAACGAAATAAAAAGCCAGCAGTGGTAGCACACGCCTGTAACCCGAGCACTCAGGAGGCTGAGGGAAGATGACTGCTGAGAATTTGAGGCCAGTTTGGGCTACATGGTGAGTTCAAAGGTCTACCTGCACTACGCAGCAAAACCCTGCCTCCTCTGCACCCCCCCCACACACACACAAAAGGAGCTGGGGATGCAGTTCAGTGACAAGGCCCTTGGGTTCATCTCAGTTTCAAAAAACAAAACAAACCCCCCAAAGATCCACCTGAGACAATGAATCTAGAGGCAGGGCACAACTACATAAACTTTTAAAATGCTATTTTTTCCCTCTGTCTGGTTAAGCCGCACTGCTGTAAAATGAATTCGAGTTCTGAGCGTGTACTTTGTGTCAGGGGCAGGGGCGGGTTGGGCTGAACTGAAGCAGGGAAGAGACAGACACTTTACAAACAGCAGATAACCTGGGTGCCGCAGTGTGTGCAGCTTTAGTCTCAGCAAGTAACACAGGGCTGGGTCTGACCTAATATAAATTCAAACTCAAGATCACAAAAACATTTTGATCTAAAACCTCGTGAAAATTTAGTCCTACACCGGAATAACCAATGAACTCTCCAAATCAAGAGCAGCATTAATTAGAATAGAACTTTTCAAACTTCCCAAGCAGCTAGCTTTCCTCTGGAAAAAGGAAGGAGATCCAGGTAACATTAATGTTTAAAGAGTCACATTATTCGATCACAGTCACTGTATGTACTCAAGTTTCAGTTCATACTTCTCTGTGCTTTGATGAAATAGTCCAACATGGCAGCTTATTAATGTGAAGTGAGCTAGTAATTTGAAAGTCAGAAATGTTTTTGAAAAGATTAAAGTTATCAAAATAAACTTCTTGGACAGATCTAAGTCCAACCTCTAGGTCGGATGTGGTGATACAGACCTGCAATCCCAGCACTCGGCAGGCTGAAGCAGGAGAATTCCCCAAGAGTTCGAGTCAGGATGGGCTACATAGTGAGCTCAAGGTCAGCCTGCACTACAAACCAAGACCCTGCCTCAAAAGAACTCAATAAAATAAACACAAAAAGCCTTTCACTAAGTTTTTAGTATTAACGAAACCTAAAACTTGCTACACATCACTCCAAGATGTCACACTAGCAGTGAATTAGATATCACTGTTTTAAAAAAGAGCGTTGAAAACCAGAAACCAAGTACGAACATTCATTTTAAGGCCATGAGCTCTTCTAACAGTGAGACAGAACCTGTGTCACCAACCGCTCCCAGGCCCGCTCGCCCCTTGGAGGGGGGTGGGGAAGTGGCAGGTGGCGACGAGCTTCGCGCTCAGCACGGCCAGGCCCGTATTTCCGTGACAGGCCACGGGAAGTTACGGCGGCAGGGGCGCCCGGCGGGGCTGGGAACTCCAGGCAGACCCGCACAGGGACGCGCGTCCGCGCCGCCTGACTCAGCCTCTTTCGGACGCCTTGCGTCCGAGCTCTGGACCGGGTCCGCCGCAGGCCCAGGCGGGGCGGGCGCAGAGAGCGTCCTGGCCCAAAGTGGAGCGGTAGGAAGGGGAGCCCAGGCCTGCACGGTCTCCCGCGAGCGCCGTTCCCCGACGCGGCCCTAGGCCCAGACCCGCGCCCTCGACCCCGATCCTCACCGAACAGCAGCAGCAGCAGCAGCGGCCGCCGGACGCCGCGGGAAATTGCCATAGCGCGAGGCGCCGAGGCCGGTAAGCAGGGACGACGGAGGCGCGAGCCTGGAGCGGCGGGCAGCACGGCTAAGAGCGGCGTCCAAAGACGCGACAGGACCAGCTGCTAAGGGGCCGGCACCGACAAGACCCCGCGGCCGGTAGCGCCCGTCACGTGAGCCACCGCGCCCGCATCACGTGACCACAGGTCTCGCGATAGGCCGCGCTTCGGCCTTGGGGCGACCCCCGACGCCCCATTCCCGTTGCACGTGACGCCACAGGTGATCCTGCGCGGCACGTGATCCAGCCTGTCACGTGGTCTGGACGCCACGTGATCGGACCTTTCCCTGCGGGTCCAAAAGCTTCCGGGCCCGGAGCGGTGAAAGGGAAAGTGGGTCACGTCTCCAGGAAAGGGAAGAGGAAGCATCGCGGCAGGGAAAGTGATGGCGGGGACACGCGCCGCTACCGCCGTCTGCTCCGGCGACTGTTCGGCACCAGGACCCAACGGCCCAGTCCATGGGCTGGCTACAGGCGGGCGTCTACATCCTGGCCCAGTTCCAAGGCAGGCCCCGCGTCCGGCCCGCGGTCGGCTCCGGGTCCTCGGAGCTCCGCAGAGGGAGGCAGGCGCGGGCTGCGGAGCACAGGACACGCGTGCGCACAGAGAGCTTTGTGAGGGGGATGCCACTGTATGTCAGCTCCCCAGAGCGCATGGTGGTGGTGGTGGGGCGCTGGACATGAAGTCCGACAAGTGTGACTTCCCATAGGGCAGCAGTGCTGTGGCAATGCTCGTCGTGGTGGGTTGAGCCCCCGTGATGCTGGGATGGACTATCTGAGCGGAAGTCGGAGAGTTTCACGAACTCAGGACGGAAACGTCTTCCTTTTTTGTTGGGTTAATACTGAAAACCTCCAGGGTCTAACTTGAGGCCTCCTCTGGACCAGTGGCTCTCAGTAAAGCACTCTCGGCCCGGGATTTAGCTCAGTGGTCTAAGCACCTGCCTGGCAAGCACAAGGTTGTGAGTTTGATCCCCCGTACAAAAAAAAAAAAAAAAAAAAAAAAGCACACTCTTATGGAACTTGAGATTGTTGTTTTGCTATTTAATATAATGTTGAGAACATTAGTTTTGTTTTGTTTTGAGACAAGGGTTTCACCGCATAGTTTAGGCTGCCCTGCTTTGAACTCACTGTGTAGCCCACGATTGTCTTGAACTCTCACAGTGACCCTTCTGCCTCATCTCCCGAGTACTGGGACCACACTTGGCTTGAGAACATGTTTTATATGTATGTCTTGTGCACATCTCTTGACAGTTTTTCTTTGATTGATTCCTTGAAGAGTTACTTCTGAATCTGAGGTAGGACCTGCAGGTGTCTCTCACAGGCTCTCTGGAGCTGTTCCTGGGATGCTCACCTAGCAGTATCCTGCATGTTAGGTGCCATTATTTAGCCCTGAAGATGGGCAGATGCTGCTGCTGTTGGTGCTGCTGCTGCTGCTGCTGCGACAGGTGTGACTGCGCCTTGAATACTGCCCGTTCTCTCACCACAGCCTTGGATTTCCTTGAGGGACTTACACTCAGTGGTATTTTTTTTAAAGAGGATTATGAAAAAGGAACCCTCAGAGACTAAGAAGAACCAAAACTTTCACCTTCTTCGAAAGCAGAGTAAAACAGTTTGAAGGCACTGGCAGCAGGACAAGTTATATAATCCCACATGCTTTTCCATTTTTGCACTCAGCCACGTGCTGAGGACCCAGCCCCGGGAGGGTGTTTGTGAGGCCTGGGTCTGTTTCAGTGTGAAATGCTCTCAACTGAGCCCATTCCTGCAGGAGACAGCGACTGGGAACTGCAGGCCACCTGAAGCCACTTCTGCTTTGGAGCTCGTGATTTTAGTAAGGATGGGAGGGGTCAAGAAGGCTCTGGCTGCTGCTGTGGAACCAAGTCTTGCTGAAGGCAGGACTGGTGCCCTGAGTGTCTGGAGGGGGTACCAGGAACCCCCAACTCCAGCAGGAAGTGTGTGGCCTCAGGATTGGTGGTGAAGGCTTTCTATGGTTTTTTTGTCTGCTTCTGTTTGACCACAGAAGGAACCTTCAAGTCTGAAATAGAAGCAGTCAAAACCAGAGTGACTGAAGTCGTCTTGTATGTTCTGTTATCCAGGCAGAGCAAGGCTGGGCTGTTCTGTTATCCAGGCTGGGCAAGACACCTTCATTTTTCTTCCTTTTAACTTTAAAAATCAACTTCATAGCAAGGTGCGGTGGCACATGCCTGTAATTCCAGTGCTCGGGAGGCTGAGGCCAGAGGATCACCATAATTTGGAGGCCAACCTGGGCTACATGACCGAGTTCAAGGACTATCTCCACTATACAGTGAGACCATTTCCAAGAAACCAAAAAACAAACCACCAAAAACACATCATGAAGGTTTGGGTGGTTTTTGACAGTGTTGTATGGCTATAAACCAACTACCCACCTATGCTGTGCAGGTGCTCTGCTGTCAGTGACCTCTGCACAGGGTGAACACTCACAGTGTCACTGTGGGGTATGTTAGGTGAAGGTAGAGAGATTTGAGCTGCAGGACAGGTTTACTTTGAACCTACCCAAGAGACATGGCTGAGACACAGAGACCAGACCAATGTTCTCTGCAGGCAATAGGGTGATCTGTAGGGTCATGGGGAGGCGGAGTCCAGGGAGGGCTGTGGCTCCCCACAAAGAGCAAGGCTGTGGGAAGTGCAGGGGCAGTGGCTACTCCCCACAGCAGAGCTGCCCATATCAGGAGTGCTCAGCTGCACTAGGATGGCAGTGGGCAGCCTCTTTTAGGGCAGTTTTCTGTCACACAAGTGTATGTAAATGGCTGGGGTTGTTTGTTTTTTGAGATGGGTTCTTGCTGTGTAGTTAAGGCTGATCCTCCTGCCTCAGCCTCCCAAATGCTGAGATGACAGGTGTGTGCCACCACATCCGGCTGCTGATTGTTTCAAAGACTGCAAGACAGTGGGACTGTTTCTGTGTGTCCACCCAGACACCTATCATTGGTGGCCTCTGCTCCTGGCCAGCCCTGGTGCCTGTTCGGTGTCACTCTTCTTGATCTGAAGCAGTTCTGAAGATAAGTCCCTTCAGCTTTTGTCTGGCTGAAAAAAGCCATTATTTGGCCTTTATCTAGGCTGTCATTTTCACTGGAGCATTCATTATATTCAAAATCAGTGATTTCCGGTTTCCACTGGAGGAACAGCATCGTGTGCGTGCTGTGTGTCAGCACACATCTCCAGGTGGCTGAGCTGGAAGCAGCTCTGCCCACCAAGCTTGGAGCTGCCAGAGGAACTAGACTGTCCAGTCAAAAGAGAATTTAAGGTATCTCCTCAGGAGCTGTGGCCCTGAGTCCTCCAGTTTCAAAGTTCAGCCTGGCCAGAATGGACGTCTCTGTGACCCCAGTGCCTTAAAGTTCTGATTACAAGGGGAACAGTGAGTCCTGACAGGGCTCCATATCACAGTTTGTGGGTGCAGCCCTTTTTGAACAGCTGACTTCTGTGCTTCGTAACTGAGTCTCCTCGCCTTGTTTTACCTGGATGGCCACCTGCCTAGCTCTGTAGTGTGCTGCTGCCCTAGGCACACACAACACACTTGTGCACACACCTACCACATACACTGCATGCTACATACACATACATCTCCCACACAGGGAAAGGTACCTTGCCACAACATCCCCTCAACATTCTCCCTCGTACTTTGCAGCTCTAGAGGCCTCTTTCCTGAGTGCCTGTACAGGATGTGATCAAGAAGATGGTGACTGCTGCCGACAAGTGCCATCCAACTGAAATGCAGCTTGTAAAAATGTGACAGTGTGTTCGCAATCGCCTCAGTCATTGGACCTGGCACCATTTGACTTCTGGTTCCTCCCAGTCACAAGGACCATGGAAGGGAAATGCTTTCAGTCCATTCAGGACATTGAGGCAGCCAGGACAGTGCAGAAAGCAGCAAGAACAGTGGGATGAGTGTTCAAAGGGGGATTCTGAGAGAGATTCATGGCAAGGCATCTTTTACTGTAATAAAATTTAAAATTCATTTTCTGATTACAGCTTGCATTCACTCTGATGCTTCACAAAGTTTGCTAAACTTGTCCTACACAGGAAGGAAGGAAGGGAAAGCTTTAAAAGCTCAATTAGCACTTCAAGAGTTTCAGGAAGCCACTGTAGCCACAAAAAAAAAAAAAAAAAAAAAAAAGGTCTGTTAGCTGGGTGCAGTGGTGCAGTGGCACACACCTGTAATCCCGGCTACTTGGGTTTGAGGTAGCGAGTCCAAGAGCAGTATAGACAATGTCGTGAGACTCTGTCTCAATAAAACAGTGCTGGGACGTACCAGCGTCAGGTCCTAAGTTCAACCCCAAGAATCAAAATATGAAACAAGGAGTCTGTTATTAAAGTTATGTAGAAAACAAGAAATTACCATGTAACAGGCCACAAGAGGAACCCTAGGTCCACATGGATGATGCCCAGGTAGCCTCTCCATTAAGTCTCAGGCCCATGTAGGGAATGGGGTGCAGTCACAGGCAGCACCTGGGAGTCATGGGACACAGTGGTCCCAGAAAGCTGTGAGCTGGCAGGAAGACAAGCATGAGTCTAGAATTCCTAAGCACTTCATGCAAAACAGAAAAGGAAAGGGTTAAGGAAATGTCTGCAGGGGCTGGCGATTTAGCTCAGAGCCATAAGCGCCTGCCTTGCAAGCAGGCAGTCTTGAGTTCGATCCCTGGTACCGATAAAAATGAAAAAGACCAAAAAAATAAATAAATGTCTGCATATGTCTTAAGTGTTACCAAAGGACCTGTTTTAGTAAAACAAATCAAGGGAACACAGGAAGACAAATCCACAAAGGAGTGAGCTTAAGCACAGTGTTGTTCATAAGGATAATCAAGCAAGTGCAAGCAGAACAGAGCGGGTGACTGGTGGCATGTGGTCCTCACAATGGCTGGGACTTTCCACCTGCCTCAGCAGCGTGTCCTAGACACATGCATTCTTTGAATGCACAGTGGAGCAGCAGGGAAGCCTCATGCTGACTTCTGGTCCCAGCAGCTGGGACTCAGTCCATGAGGACATCCCATCACTACACAGCAGGGGTGGCCCTGCTGGGACCGAGTTACACTGTGTCACATCCTCCTGCTTTCAGTGAGGAAGCTCAGTGTTCTCTGCACTGGAACACAGGTCACTTGTGCTGTGATCGTCCCC